TGGAGTTTTAATTAAAATTAAAGTTTTCCTTAAGTTAAATACTTTTATACATTGAGAGAATAAAAGCTTATGTTAAGATTATAAGATATTTTTGTAAAAATTGATCTTTACCTTTGTAAAGCAGAAGGGAATAAAATTTTACTAGTATTTATTGCAGCTTTAGGAACAGAATATACTTTTGAATTTAATAATGAAATAATGAAATTATTTCTGCTAGTCTCTTGTTGGAGTCCTCTATCCTGTTGTATTCTGCTTTTATTTCTTAATGGGAAACATTATTTTATTAGGACCAGTAACTTACATGGAAAAAATATTTCATTTGGAGCTAAGCATCATAAATAAGAAGCAAGTTAAGTATTTAAAGGGGTGTCAGTTTTAGAATGATTTATTTAGAGAGAAAATATAGGCATTTCCACCTACTCACTTAAAAACTAATGGCATTAATATTTTAAATTTGTATTGCAATTTTATTCTTTTAAAGGATTTTTTATTATATTACTTAAAAAGATAAAGAATGCAAGCAATAATTTAATAAAGGACAGAATACATAAAGGTGAAAGTAGATGAAGCAATAAGATAGAATGTACCCAGATACAGGTGTTCGTGAACAAATACCTATTTTATGCCATTTAAAAATTTCATTAATGCTTTTAAAGTCATATTGCCCTGATTTTTGGCAACTGGTATGTTTGCTTTTAGTATTTATATTTGAAATTTATAAATGAAGTGATGGATAAGGCTTAAGGATTGGAGTTTCTACAACCTTACCCTACAGGCCCATGGAATTACTGAGCAAGCCCTTTTCATGATTTCATTCTTGTAATTTAACAAATTATATAAAAAGGAAGAAAGGATGAGAAGAGGATAGTGACATCTCTATTACTACTATAGAGATTGAATTAGAACAATTTAAAAAATGTCGTAAGTTAGAATTTAGGATTGGAAGAGATTGTAGAGGTAATCTAATCCTACCACTTTATTTTAAAAAAGAAGAAACAGATTTGAAACTACAATACAGCAAGATTTCTATTTGCAAAGAGTTTTATTTGAATGAGTGTACATATTTCAGTCTACTTAATTTTATTCATACATGTTGTGTCAGATATTTGTCTCTGCTATCTCTAGACTAACAGAACATTATGTACTCAGCAGTGCTATTTATACACATGCCATTCTTCATATTACTACTTATTTTTTTGTGTAGCTCAAATGAAACAACAGTAGAAAATGTTGTTTGTGTTGTATGGAACCAAAAAGAAAAGAAAATAAGCAAATTTTAACTTTGTGGTAATTTTAAATTTAGATATATATTTATTCATTTTTTGTTTAGAATTATTTATAATCATCAGATATTTCAGTTCAAAAGAAAACAATCTCTAGTATTATATGTACATGGATCTAATTAGAGAATTTCCCAGAGAAAGTAAGATCTTTTAGATTAAGATAACTTTTGAAGGAAAGATTATATTCAGTGTGGCCATTGTCATAAGCAAGTGTCCACTTATCTGTGTGTAATGACCAGATCATTAATTTCTGTGACTTTAATGTATTTAGCTGTTAATACAAATGAAATTATTTCAAACACTACCCCCCTACCCGTGCAGCTATAAAAAGATGAATGTCCACTGTGGAAAAATTGAAAAGTATAAAAAAATATAAAGAGAAAATTTACCTACAGCCATACCATCCAGGGATAACCATTGTTTATTAATTTTGCTTGCTTCTAGTCTTTTTCCTACATACACTTATATAGTTGAGAAATAATCACTTAAAATAAATTACACTGTAGATATGCTCTCAATATTATTGCCTTTATTCAAGACAGAATCCAGGTGAATAGTTAAAACTAATTTGTCAAAACTTGTAGCTAAGGCAAGATTATTAAAATTAAAAGTCAGAGTTGCTTTACATAAATTAATAGGTAAAAGAAAATTAAATATTTTTGGAGGTATAAGATTTAATTTTAATTTGTTAGTTATAAAAAGTACATTAATGGTTAAGGGTGGGATGGGGAATCACAGAGACTTGGTGGGGAGGACCTTAACAAACATCGACTATATTTTTTTCTAGTGCAGGAATTGATTTTACAACATTCCTGATAATTGGTAAGTCTCTCCATAAACACTTCCAGTGGTAGGGAGCTTATTTAGTTTGAGGCAACTTGTTAATTACTAGGAAGTTCTTCTCAATACTGTGTTAAGTAATTTTCACACATTTCTTATTTTCCTCCTAGAAAGATTTTTATTTTTATTTCCATATAACACCCCTTTAAATATTTAGCTTTAGTTATTTAATATTCTTTTCTGTACGTACCTCTTTCAGTTATTCACTTCTTTTAATAATCTATGATCCGCTCAGTGTACTATGTTGGGACATCCTTTGGTTTTTTTTGTTGGCCTTTCAGCAGCTACGCTAGACTGTTGGCAGGAACTCCAGTGGTCAAATGAAATGCCTAAGTTGTTTTTTTTTTTTCCCCCTCTCATACTTACAGCTGACATGTTAGAGCTCTCTCTCAGTTTGCACTTGTGCAAGTTGATTTAAAGCAAACAATCTCAGAATAAAGTGTTTATAGAAATCCTTGTTTCATTTTATTGTTCTAATCTCTCAAGATCTTTGGATTTTATGTTTATAACCTGATATGTTAAATATTCCTTTTAGCCTTGTGTATTCTGTATTAACCTTCTTTGAGTATTGTTTTAACTACTGTGAATTTACCTGACTTCTCTTATGGAGCTCACATTTTTTTCATCTGTCTAGTAAATATATCCAAGAAAGAAAGACAGACGGGTTAGTGTGGGTTGAGAAACCATATGCAGATTTTGTAGACTTGGAATTTGAATCTATTTTTCTTATCTAATTTTGGACAAATATACATACTTTGTGCCTGAAACACATGTAATGTGTTTCTATTTTACATCCTTTTTTCATTTATAATAGTGTTTGAACATCTATCTGGTGACAATGAATATAGAGCTCTAGCATTGTTCTTATTCATAGGGTACAGGTATGCTATAATCTATTTACCCAATCCCCTGCTGTTTGAAGCCAGATTCTCTTTTTTTGTTATTGTAAGTAACATTGTGATGAATAGTTATGCATATAGTTCCTATTCACTTGTCTGATTATTTCTTTAGGATAAATTCCTCAAACTGAAATTTCTGTTCCAATGATAAATACACTTTAAGGACTTATGACATGTGTATTGACAAATCGCCATTCAGGAAAATTGTACTACGATATACTCTCATCAGCAGTGTGCAAGAGTACCTATTTTCCCACTGGTTTAGATGGAGATAATCTCCTTTCCTGTGGTTGATATCTACTGTGATGTCAAGCCAAACTCACCGGTCTATGTTTCCGGACTTTTGTTATTGTGCCTTTGCTTATGCCATCTTCTCTTTTTGGAATGACTTTCACTACCTTTGTCTGGCTAATTTTACTTGTCTTTTAGGCTATAAGGCTGCGAAATTTATAGAACTTCATATTTCCATGACCATGCTTGATCAAGGGTATTTGTTTCATAAGAAGTTTCTATTTGAAATTATGATGTAATCCTAACTTGGAATATAACATAGTTTTTCTAGATTTGTCTTTTCTCTCAGGGTTAGGAGAACAGTTTCATAAATGGCTGTTAGCTAAAATCTTAAATCTCAGAATCCCCTCTGCCCTTTGACATGATTTTACATCCTTATGTCTGTTTTCTGTCTTTTAAGTCTACAAATTTCATTCTGGTTGACTTTCTCCAAGGGCAAGGTGAGGGTGGCAGAGGAGGAGAGTGCAGAGTATAGTTTGACTGTCAGTCCTGGTGCCATCAAGGCTTTAGCAAAGGTGGGGATTAACAGGGAGGGTATATTGAAGTGCTCAGTGAATGCTGAATGACTGAACTAACTGGTAGCTGTGGAAAACCCAAGGATGGCCCTGAGGACTTATGCTGGACTTGACAGAAACCTGAAGTTAAGACTGGTTGTAAGCCAAGGAAGTTACACCAGCAGATAGAACAACTCGAAGCTAAGGCTATTTTTCAGCTTTAGAGATTTGAGAGGCTCCAATTGAGAAATCTGGGAATTTGTACTACAGTTCTAACATGCATTGTTAGCACAACAGATTGTATGCCAGAATACTACCACATACGTCTTTATAATACCAGTTGGCTCATACGTGTTTGGAAAATAGGAAAAATATGTCAGTGTAACATAGAAGTTTTGGATTCATATGCTGTCTTTCCTAGTTTAGGAAAGCTGGGATAATGGACTAGAGTCATAGCCTTTAGCTGCAGGGGAAAAAAACTTGAACTCAGCTACAAAGACAGCAAGAGCCTTTGCAGCAACATTTTAAGAAAATTAGAAGTGTGCACCTATATTCAGGCTTTTTCCCTAAGAGGCACACCCCTAGCTTCACCTTAGTTTTGCTAGTGGCAGGCCGCTTCCTCTGCTCTTTCCTTGCCTTTGTCTCAGCTGGCTAGCTTCCCACTCTCTTGTTGTGGTACAGTGTACCATCCCTTGAGATTGCCTGAAACCGCTCCAAGATGTTTGCCTGGGTATCCAAATGATCTCCCCAGGTACCGGTTATGGCTTTTGTCTGCTTTTGCTTGTTGTAGACTCTTTAAAGCCTTTCCTTTATTTATTGTTTTACCCTTCTTCCCTTTCTTCCTTCCTATGCTAATCAACTCCCTCTTCAGCTTCTTTGTTTATTTGATGTTATGTTTATAAGGTTAGGAAAATTTTTATTTTGGTATTTTGGGGTGTTAAAGAGTCTCGCATTTGAAACAGATTAAATTTAAGCACTCTTATATTTTAATACTAAGGATTTTCATTATATATTTTAGTCAAAATTAGCAGCATTGAAAAGGTACTATAGCAGATACATAAAAGTAAATGTGTTAATAAGATATAAGCATGACTATATTATATATTTAGTGATTTATAAGCATATTTATGGTTATATAAAATACATAAATTCATGAATAAAACTATTATAATGCTGATTTTGTTTTCCTTCAGGAGGATCAGGATGGCAGTCAAGGTCTGGGCAAGAGAAAAAGGGTCAAACTAAGCGGTAACACCAAAGGTATTTATATTTAATTTTTTCCTTGTATGAAAAGCTCCTAAAATGCTTAATCACTAAGAACACTTGATTTGTTAGCCATATTCACACCAAAGCTGTTTGAAAAGCGAGTTACATTATTAGATTTGCCTAATGATTTCCTTAATAAAGTATTATTAGAGGGTGATCGTAGGGCTCAAATAAAACCTTTACTATTGGGATTTTGTCTTTTTTTTTTTTTTTTAAAATATAAAACATTCATTATCATATTTGATCCAGAAAAAAGTACGTCTTTTCATTGATTCTTTGATTTGAGTCCAGTGTTTTAGGTGTAAAGTTTTAGTTTGGTTTACATGTTTTCATAATCTGGGTTATGCAATTTCTAGAATGAAAAAGGATAAATAAGGGAGAGGTGGTGAAAGAGAGAGCAAGAGAGAGAACATGAATGAATGAATATGAGAATGAATGAGAAGAATAGCACTTAACACACAGTTCTCAGTAAGAAGTTAATACATGTTCACTCAAAGGAGGAAGTAGATATGCTAGTAGTGAAGGAATAGTTTTGTAATAATAGTAATGAGTGATATTTATTGAACCTTCTGTATATGTTAGACATAATGCTCTATGTGTTGTTTCATTAATTTTCAAGGTAACTATATGAAGCAGATTTTATTATTACTATTTTATGAATTAGAAAATGGAAGTATGTTAGAGATCACAGCTAATAGGAGGTTGATCTTTAATTCAAATCCCAGAGCCTAAGCTCTTAACCACTAGGTTTTCTTGGCCCTCACTAAAAGCTTTTCTAGAGTACTTGTTTTTAGTTAGCAGCCTGTACTCTGGATTTTTGCCATGGATTTCCAAAGTTTAACATGGTCTATTGTCTGGTTTATTATTGTCTGTTACAGAGTCTCCAGTGGTTAAAATAATATTTTGATGAAAAGACGAGTTTTACTTCTGGTGCTGATTAAGTGTATCTTGTTTGGAATGTTTAGGACTGCCTGGAAAGATTGGGCAAGCAGGTAGCTTCAATTGAGGCTCATTTTGTAAGTCTGTTCTTAGTTGCTTAGGCTGCTGCATTTAACTTGTAGATTGCTAGCAAAGGGCATGAAATTTGATCTGTGGTCCAGGATGCATACATACACACATGCTCCCCTTTTTCCTGGCTCAGCAGAGAACCTATAATGCCTGAAGAAAATTGGAAACCCATATGGCTGCTTGGCCCTTTGACTTACCAGAGTTGTCCATGTGTATTCTTGAGTCCTTGAGACACATCTGAATTGGAGCAGATTGTTAGACACATACTTGAGTTTAAGCTTTAGGGATGCCCAGAAATATACCTGTTATGGTGTAAGATGTCATTGTTTTCCTTTAGCCTGATCAAGCTCTGGCTGAAGGTACTTTTTATGCAGACTTGAAGTTTATTTTCTTTTATCCTGAATTTTTTTTGCTTTTGGGATTGGATTGTCTTCTCTTTCTTCCTCCACTGGTAAGAAGTAGTAGAGATTTCAGACTTGATCAGTTACCATTTTTAGTTTAAGTATGTATATGGAAGAAACAGCTTTTTGAATTAGTAGAACCTCTGGTTTTTAAAAAGTGCCTGTTGCTTTTGAAGATTATTGAGGTAATGAATTGCAGAGCCTGAACTCTGCTGTCTAATTAAAACTTTTACCTTTCTCATGCATTTATACTACATACTGGTTCTTCAAAAATTTCTTTTAAAAATTTGGCTTACGGTAGTTTAGGCATTGTAAAAGTCATGACAATTTAATCAAGATTTTAAAGGTAAATAGCCATACATGACTAATGGAAGCATTTCTAACCACATTTCCATACATAACACATAAAGCACATAACATAGGGTTTAAATATCTTGGGAAACTGACATCACCTAGTTTAAGAACAATAAAGAATTGTGGAAGTTTTTTTTTTTGGTCTGAAGATGAAAAAATCAAATTGTTCGTAATTATACCTATTTTCATTTTAGTAGATGCCACAGCTTTTCTGATACATTTGGATTGTTTTATTTATTTAAAACAAAGTGAATGTATCTTTCTTTTTAAATGCTTGACATATAATAATTATGGTAGCTGCAGGCTTTTCATTTGACTAATGTAAGCATGTAGAGTCATAACTGAATTGTAAGATTAATATGGCTAGTTTTGTTCAGCTTTGTAAATATGTTAAGAAGCACTTGTCTGTGAGGGTTTTATTTATTTATTTATTTTGGGAGTCTGTGAAATTTTCAATTATTTTAGTGCCAAGTGAATTGTGAGAATTAAATTGGCTTCAGCAGTGTGCTGTGGATCATATTTTAATTTTTAGTTATAATCCTTACATTCCTGCCACATGATCCACTTGGGCCCTAATTTTATTACTTTTTTGGCTTTGGCTCTATTAGTGTCTGTCTCTGAATATATTTTAACTTATTTCTTGCAAGACTGGTTTATTTCTGTTTTTAAATCATTGTCATATCCTGGGAATGAACTATATCAGGAGGAAGAGTTTTCTGTTTTAAGAGTAGAAAATTATGAGATTTCAAAAATAAAGTTATTTAGTTTCTAATAAAGGGATGTATAGTGTAATCATATTTATATTTTTATTCATATTACATATTGTTTATACTGAAGGCCCCTTTGAAAGGGAGTTAGGTAGAGAATTGGTAAATATTTTTGCTTCTCTGTAGTTAAAATTATGGTTTTTCCAGAAATATAGAAATTATTATTCTGAAAATAATTACTAATGGAAAATTAGTAATTAATTACTAATGGAAAAATTAGGTTAAAGTTATATGTAAGAACTGATTCAAGTCTTTTTAAACTCAGAATGTTTTATAGAAGAATCAAGAGGGCCATGGCATACTGAGTTTGTTGTTCCTCTTTTAGACTCATTTCCTGAGGGAGATGTGGTATGAACACATTACTTAGTAATAGAAGAACTGTGAAACTGGAGTAGGGTTAACTGAAAAAAATGCTACAAGGTTATTATCCTGCAAGACAATTTGAACTGTAATGTAGTTAGGGCCGTATCTGAATATTTTGGTGCATATCATACTGTTTTTTCAAATCTTTCATCGAACTCTAGTTCTTGCTTAAGCACTGTCACTGAACCAGTTCATTCACAGTTGACACTTGATGTTCTTATTGATGACTGAGAGCAGTAGTCCAAGATCATTTGCTCTAACAAAGATTAATAGAATTTTCTAGTTCATTTTTAGGGAAAAAAATTAGAGAAAGCAAGAGAAAGAGATAGCTAAAGTATTAAAAACTTTATTTTGAATCTTAGTAGAAATTTTAGATAAATGGCTTATGTTTATGGAAAAGTAATTACTTATTATTTTTTAGTTGCTACTTTATATTAAAATATAAGGATTCAGTATTCTGTAATTTATATGCTGTGGAGATTATAGAAACCTAGCTTGATGTTTCCATATTATCACTAAATTATTAAAGGGGTAGCCTTAATTTTTAGATACATTTAGGTGTTTGAGGTTGATGGGTTATTAATTATTGTAAGATTTAAATGAGATAAGGAAAAATCATTAGGTGATAAATTTTTTTTTGTATGCAGATCAATCCATAATGGATGTTTTGAAACATAAAAGTTTCCTAGAAGAACTATTGTTTTGGACTATAAAGTATGAATTCCCCCAGAAGATGGTAACTTTCTTACTCAACATGCTTCCAGATCAGGAGTATAAGGTATCTATATTTTTTCCCTTTCCTTTCTGAGCTTTGTTTCCTTTTCTTTGCCTTTTCATTATTAAATCTTTTTGATATATTTCTCAGCTGTGGCTTATTGTATTGTAGCTCTGAAAACTGATATAATACTATGAAAGAGCATTAGCTTCCTCTGTTGCCAACACAGGGGCTGCAGAAAAAGTGTCATATTGTAGATCTGTGACAGAGGACCACTACTAAAGCAGAATTCCTGAGGGTTGCCTTTCTGCATGGAACTTGATCCAGAGTGGATGCTGGGGGACAAATACATTTGCACAGATAAATTTTTAGTTACAAATTATAATAAGTTTTCTAAAGGAAAGATACAAGGTGCTATGAGAATGTGTGATGGGGGCAGCCGAATTTAGATGGTGGTATTAGGCATGGGAAAACATGGGATTAGTAGCTGCTGGCCATAACTGTTAAAGGCAGAACAGTTATTGGCTCATGTACACATGTAGGTAGGTGAAGTCTTCAGTCCCAGAGGGTCCGGACCCACCTGTTAATCACCATATAGTTACGGCAGTGACACAACCTAGTGTATGAGAAGAAAATAAATCACGCTGTAGTTCTTACGGTTTAGGTAATAAAGCTTTATTAGCAGTGACATTTTAATAATGCTGTTGTTTTGTGTATTTTTACCTGCTTAAGAAAACAACAGAGGAAATGTACGTGTTAGAGTATTTAGTCAGATTAGCAGTCAGCTTTCAGATCAAATAGAAGAAGGTATTTCTTTCGGTATAATCACGTTGACTCGTTAAGTTGTATGAAATCCTCTGTGATAGGTTTTAGCTGAGACTGTAGATTTTGTTGTTAAAGTAGCACAGAACAACGACATATACTTGGACATTAGTAAATTAATGTGTTTTGAGCATAGTGAAAATTCGTATTTTAAACCATGATATTGTAATTGTTTTAACATTTTAATAATTTAAAATGCCTATTAAAATTGTTTAACAATTAGAGTATTTTGCTAATGTTCCAGTAAAAGAGGAAAATGTGACTTAAGACTACCATCATCATTGAAATTATTTTTACAATTACCTTGGACATTTTTACAAGCTAATAATAGTTTTAAAATGTTAATATAATATATTGGAAAATGTGTTATAAAACTCAAAGTTAAATTAACGTGTCTTTTTCTTTCTATTTAAAAAAATTTATAGGTTGCTTTTACAAAAACTTTTGTTCAGCATTATGCTTTCATTATGAAAACACTGAAGAAAAGTCATGAATCAGACACAATGTCTAACAGAATTGTGCATATTAGTGTTCAGTTGTTCAGCAACGAGGAGCTAGCCAGACAGGTAACAGAAGAATGTCAGCTGCTGGATATTATGGTCACTGTGCTATTATACATGATGGAAAGTTGCCTTATTAAAAGTGAGCTACAAGGTAAACTCAGAATTATTTTCACTAATTTTATTATTATTACTATACAGTGTATACCTAGCCTTAAAAACTCTTTATATGCTTAAAATAGTTTTAAAAAGATTATAAAATAATACACGTTTGTTAAAGAAAAATTTGAAAATTTTCAGCAAAATTTAAAGAAAAACTTTAATTTTGTAGTTTTGTTATTCACAAATAACTTGTTAACATGTTTGGTATTACTTTTCATTTTCTGTGATATGAATATATTTATAGATATAAATACATTAAAAATATGCTACTGTATATACATTTCAAGAACACGGTTTTTAATGATTGCAGGTATTACTATCACATGGTTTTACAATAATTTTTTTAACCATTTACTTATTAGACATGTCCTATTTTTTATCAGCCTTAGACATTTTTATATGCCTGTACTTTTAAAATTTGTTTTATATTTTCATTTATTATTTAATTATAATAAAAATAACAAAATATAGATGCAAAATAACTTACACCCAGAATTCTATAAAATAGTTTTTATGAATTTGATTTGAAGGTCCATAGTTGTCTTACATATTGCATATTATTTTCTTATCCTTTATGTCTCCAAGTGAGCTCTTGTTGCAGTCACTTCTGGAAGCATTATGGTCTGATCCCACTGGTGTATGGATGTGTATGCTGTAGCGACATCTCCTGTTCTCCCTCCTACTTCATGCCACTTTGTGTGGCATTTCCACCGGTCTGTCAGTTCAGGATTAAGCACTTCACACCATGAATATCTATTGTCTCAATATGATTCCATCAAGTGGAAAAAGAAGTTAGCTAGAAATGTAATTCCTTGTACCCTTTCTCCTAATACCCTCATCTCTGGGGGCCTCTTCACCATTCCACAGCCTGTCTCTCCCTAGGTATCCCCATCCACTTAGAAACTGCCTTGGATTTGAGGCTGGGAGGGGCCTGCTTCTCTGAGAATATGCCTATACTTTTATAATTTAAAAGTTGGACTAAATCTTGCCTTTTCTGCGTTTTTCGATTTTCTTCTTTTGTGCCCACTGTATGGTTGATACCCCTCAAACTGCCATATATCTAGGACCTCTTCACATTCTCATTTCTCTTTGGTTTTTCATCTTAACTTTACCTCCCTGTAATAATTTATATTATCTTAATATTTGCTATGTACTAGACACTTTGTTAATATTATTTATATGTTTAAATTAAGCTTCTAAACAACTCCGAGATTGACATTATTACTATTCCCACTTTAAAGATGAGTAAATCGAGACTTAAGGAAGTTAAGTCATTTACTGTAAAGTATACAGATAGTAAATAACAGAGCCAAGAAGGACTTCATAACTCCTGATGTGAGAATCTTTGTTCTTAACTATGACAAGGCCAGGCCAACACTGATAGGGCATTATCTTCTCTTGTTGCCACTTGGAGCTAACTTTAAAAATAACAACAAACAGTACTTCAAATTAAATCTTAAGACCTTTCCATTTTCTGTGGAGGAGAAATCTAATAGTTAAGACTTGCATTGTTTTATTGTTGCCTCCTTTTGCATATCAGCTCCTATTTTCTCTTTATACTGATGGTCTATTTTCAGTATATTTTCATGTAATACCATAGCTTGAACTTGTTATATGCTCAGTATAGGACACAATGCCTTATATTTAATAATAGCTAGCTAATAATTATGATAGTTACTACCTTTTGAATACTCACTGTATGCCATGCTTTTTTCTCAGTACCTTATATGTATTATCTCATTTAACTACCAGTAATTTTGTGGAGTAGATACTGTTTTCTCCATTTTGTAGACGAGGCAGTTGCGGCTTAGAGAGTTGAAGTCAATGGTCTGTTATTTTACAGCTGTAAGTGGGTAGGGCTTGGGTGTCTGACTTCAAAACCCATACCTTTTTGCCCACTGTGCAACTCTGTCTTCCCATTGTAGGTGTGGTGGGAGAGTAATACATTATTCACATTAAGTAATATACATCTTTACTTTTTTAAAGGAAAATTTAAAAGCTGCTTTGTATTAGTTATTCTGTCTTCATGTAAGATGACCTTTTCTGTCTTAGAGATTTAGCTACATATATTGCTTTTTATTTTTTAAAGTAGTATCTATCATTATTCAGGTGTATCAATGATGTTCTTATATAGAATTATATTTAGAGGTCTTTTCACAAAAATAGAATTTCAGATTTATAAACTAGAAATTTTTTTAGAGTTTAGAAGTATCTGCTCTTTTGAAAAGAATCTGGAGTCTATTTTCTTGACTAAGTGGTTTAGCTATGCTTATTATACATGGTTTGCATTTGGTCTTAGAGAAAACCGTTTTGGTACAGCTAGCTATCTAACCATCCACACTGCCGCCCAATCTAAAAACCTAGGAGTCATTTTTGGATTCTTGTCACGAACATGACTGTCTGTCCTTACACCTTCTAAATGTCTTAAAATAGCCACTTCTCTTTATCTCTGTGCCTTCACCATAGTTCAATCCGTTGTAGTCTCTAGGCCTCTACCACTAGTTATCACCACCTTCCTTCAGTCACTTTGCACACTACACATCTGATTATATCCCCTCTTTTACCACTCCATACCCCCTCCAGTGGCTTGCCATTGTCTTCATGTGAACTCTAACCTCCTGAAGCTGATTTATAAGGCCTCTGGCCTCATTCGTGCCGCTCATCCTTTATATTGTTTGTCTCAGTGAATTCATCCTTTTTTTATACAGCTTCTTCTACTTAGAACACTGTTTCCTCCCCCATCCCTAGTTTATTTGGCTAATCCTAATTCCTGCTTCATTCTGTAAATCTGTTTAAATATCAGTTCCTTGGGAAAGTCTTTTCCTGAATTATAGACTACTTTTATTTGTTCTTATGACTTCCTGTACTTTTCTTATTATAGCCCTTATCACACTCTGCCTTCTTAGATATTAACCTCAATGGAGAGAGAGAGACTATGTAAATCTTGCTTTATTTACCACCTTCTTTTCAGAGCTTAATAGACTACCTGTCCCTCAGTAAGTGCTCAATAAATATTTGTTGATCATTGGATCTCATCAGCACAAAATCATAGCTCTATATATTTATAGTGACTAAAGTACCTGTTGGGTAAAAATAGAAGTCCTAATCATTTTATTTCGTTAAAGATTCCAAGGTGTTTTTCACAAGAACAGTAGTATTTAAAGCAGTGTCAAGAAAATAGTGATTTTGATTAATTATATTCTGCTTATTCATCCTCTAGTTTTAATTACATAGAACAGTGTTTCTCAGTGTTTAAAAAATTTTTAAATCCCAGCATCCCTAAGCACTGTCTCATCAATATCAGTGGCTCAGCAACTCACAGTGGCAGTAGTAGTTGTCAGTCAGTGGGCTTTTCGGAATCTCAGGTGTGGGTAATTTGTAGAAAGCCTCTCACCCCTACTCCCTCATTAAGTTATACCTTCTCTCATCCTATTGAGAAGCACTGAAAGAGAGCATAGTTAACTTTGTGGGTCCTGTTTTTATATATGGTTAAATTTCAGTGTGATAAGAGCTCTCATATTGGTTGAGCACAGGCCTCAAGTTCAACAGCAAAGGCAGCACAGTAGGTCTGAGACTCAAATTCCAAATGCTTGTTTAGTTCTCACTTGTTTAAGTTCATACCTTGCAGAAAAAGCAGATATAAACCTTGCTAGAAGAAAGTGACTGTTCATATTAAAAAGCAAGAATTGGATAAAATAATTTCATGGACTGAAACCTAAATTTAATGTATGTAAATTAAGAAGTTCAGTAAAAGCCTTCCTCACTGATGAATTTGACAAGGAGGTGGTTAGTTGAAAAAGTTGGTTAAAGTGAGGAATCATTAAACAAATGATACATATATATATCTTAAACAGTAAAATCTAACTTAAAACACAGAAATGCATGTTCATTCTCCAATCTTTTAATTATGGGCAAAGCATTTTTAAGATGTGGTTTCCTTGACTGAAGTTCTGTCATCTTTCTTTTATATTACCACATCTGTAAAGCATTATCTGTGATTTTTAGTTTCAGTTTTTTTGGAGTAGGAACATTAGATCTTTGTGAAGCAATCTGGGCATAAAAATCTTTCTAGGCTTTTATGATTTTTCTTCTCCAAGATTTTTTTAGCGTTTTCTTAGGCATTTACTTTTATTGTCTTGCAAAAGTTTATGATCCAGTTTTTGTAATACCTCTATGCATTCATATTTCATCAGTTTTTATACTTTTAATTTAAATTTTATAATTATAATAAAAAGAACAATTAGCATGAACAGAAACAAAAACTGACTCTGAATAAGCATAAACCTCAGCTTGTGTACTAGGTAATAGGCTATTAGCTTTGAGCATTCTGTGTGTTATGGGTATTGTATTTTATAGCGGAAATAGGAAGCTTGTTTGTCTAGTGAATCCGTTAAATAGGAATAGGTTAAGAGAGCTAATGTATATGTGCTATAACTTCTAATAGTAAAGATTTGGGGCAAGCATAACCACCTCCCCCAACAATGTATTTAAACTTTGAGGATATTTTTTTAAAGGCTTAACATGTTTGTGTTTTCTGTTCTTTCATTTTTGACATACTGTGTTTGCTAAAACATTATATTTACATATTCATTGAATAGAAGAAAGCAATTTAATATATATTGCTTAAATCATACAAATGTGATTGCTAAGATGGAATGAGATTAATCTAGGAATAAAAACATTTTGTTGATTGGAACTGAAATACTGCATTATGTCATTAGAATCCGGAAAATAATGTGGTCTTGTAAACATAGCTAGCTCAGTATCATGTAATACGTTGGACATATGGTAATGATTATTATAATGACGTGCTAAGTGTTATGTTAACATTTCATTTAAAATATGTGTCTTTTTCCATTATACAGGTGGGGAAATTGATTCAGAGTCTAAGTAACATGCCTGAAGCCATATAGTTATTAAATGGCAGGCTGGGGTTTGAACTTAAGTGTCTCCGATTCTACAGTGTATAATCTGTATCATTGGTAAAGTTTAATTTTTAAAAACTTATTTTTGGGCTATGTGTGTCTGTTTTAGATGAAGAAAATAGTTTACATGTGGTAGTGAACTGTGGAGAAGCGTTACTGAAGAATAACACTTATTGGCCTCTTGTCAGTGATTTTATTAATATCCTTTCTCATCAAAGTGTGGCTAAGAGATTTTTGGAGGACCATGGTTTGTTAGTTACATGGATGAACTTTGTGTCTTTCTTTCAAGGTATGAATTTTACTTTTTTGTTAATTTCTTTAGTTTACAAAATGCCTAATGCCGAACTATCAAATACTAATTATAAGATAATAAATAGCACACTATTCAGGTTACATACGAAGTGTTTCATTTTAATTAATTGATATTTGTAAGTACTTTAATAAAGTATTCATGAAAACATTATAGAGTTATGAAAAATGTCAAATTATTAAAAAAGAAACAGGAGAGCAAGAATTTATTTTAGCATTTTAAATTATTAATCTGGAAGTTTCTAATCTGTTGTCTAAGAAAGATTCATAATGCTTTTATAAAAATTTCAACTAACATCAGTTAAAATAGTTTTGACTTTTTTATTCAGTATATTGTATTATGTTATATAAGAAAGAGACAATTTACAAAGTGTTTCTAAGAAAACTTAGTTTGTAAAGAATTCCAATAAGACTTGTTTTATTTTTTAAAATTTATGTATTTTTATACATATTGTTTATATATGCCATTTGTGTGCATGTTAGAATGTGTTTGGTACTAGGAAGTATTTTACTTGATTTTTAGTATGAATACTTGCTAATATTTTGCAAGGTTTATATCTGTTTTAATTTTTGCAAGGTATGAACTTAAACAAGCGAGAACTAAATGAGCATGTGGAATTTGAGTCTCAGACCTACTATGCTGCCTTTGCTGCTGAACTTGAGGCCTGTGCACAGCCAATGTGGGGGCTCTTATCACATTGTAAAGTTAGGGTATGTTGGAAATATTTTTGTTGATTTCTTTGTTTTCCTTTAAAAGAATTAAGAAAAAGATGTGAAAACATTGAATTGTTTACTTGTTTATAATAATGTTGCAGTGTTTAATTCTGAACTCATCTCTGTGAAAGCTGACTTGAGGCAGTAATTATTATTCTTAGGCAGGTTGGAATTTATATTATAAGATCTTTCCAGCTTTCTCTTATTGTGAATAGTTTTGGGAGTTTCATAAGTCTCTACTTTCATCTTTATTTCATTTTACTAATTACCTGTTAGTTGCCTAATGCTTCTTTTAAGGGATGAAGATAGTCTTCAGTAACATTTACATTTTTAGGATACCAAGCACAAAATCAGTATATATTTCATACAATTTCCAGTTGTATATAAAAAGAATCTAAGGGTAGCATAGCAGCAACATAAGTTCTTATAATTGGATAAGAAAATGCTTATTTGTAATTGCGTGTATTTATGTCTTTCTATACAAGTATATATTTTACTTTTGCATTTTAAAGTATTGATTTGATGGTTCTCCAGAATCCTTGGACAATCCAAAAAAATGGAATGCCCTGATCCTACTAAACTAAGGACTTGACTAAGATTTTGCTGTATGAATCCCATGAAGTCCAGCTTGCTAGCCTGTACCAAATAAGCATGCTGGACAAAATTTTATAGTGGAAATATTTTGAAATCTGGATTCTGGTCTGGGCTCTGCTTTTCTTAGGTTACTGTATCAACTCATTTACAAGTATTTGAGTATTTGAATTTCTTAGTTTCAGTCTTTTTCTTTATTTTTATGGTAAAATGAAACAAAATGGAAATGGGATAGCAGAGCCTTTTGCCCTTTTTCACAGAGTTATTGTGAGGCTCTTTTCCATATACTCTTTAAATATATGTGTTTCTTTTAAGCAGATTTATGTTTCCTCTCATGACTTCAGCTATTCTCTAAATCCAGATGACTCACAGTTTGTTACAGTCTACCCATGTTCAAATTTCCAACAACTCTGGTTATTCATGTAGCTCTCCTTATAGGTAAATGAATTTTCTCAGGTTCCTAACTGAAAAATCATCTGTTCATATTGTATCCTTTATGTTCATTTAATGGTATCTTACATGATGCAATTATCTAACACACGAACTTTCTCCCTGGTATACCTGTTGTGTTCAACCTGTAATCAGATGCCATAAATTCTCTCTTTCATTCCAGTAATGTCTCCCTACCACTTCTTTCCTCTGTCTTAATTTATTCATATTTTTAAAATCTAGGTTTTTAAGGTAATTTCTTAACTGGTTTTCCTACCTCTAGATTCTTCCTACTATAATCTGGACCAACACTTAAGTTACTTTTCTAAATTCTGTGCATATCTCTTCTTTGCTTAAAAATCATTCAACTTCTTATCTGTCTACAGGAAAAGGCCTGTGTTTCCTGTAGACACATTTAAGATTCTCCACAATTTTTACTCAGTTTATCTCTCATAATTCACCTTCCTATACCCCTTCTACCTCCGTGCCTTTATTGGGTTGATTACCATTCGTCAATATGCAGTATGCTTTCCTCATTTCTATGATTTTGTTCAAGCTAGTCCCTTTTTTGGCATATCTTCTCTCATTCTCTCTGCTTAGTCCAGTGCTGCTTTTGCATGAGAATCATCTGGGAAACTTTAAAAATACATGTGCCTAAGCTCCACTGTCAGAGATTTTGATTTATTTGATGTGCAGTAGGACCTCAGCAGTGATTCTGACTATTGTGAAGAACCGCTAGTGTTAGTGTTAGCTTTTCAAAAATTCTATTCAGAAGACTTAACTGATGTGTAATCTGCTCATTTAAGTTTTTTCAGTCAGATTTATGGTTCCAATCCAGTGTTTTCTTAGTACCTTGTTTGATTTCCACTGTAGTATTTATTAAAAAAACTGTCATATAAGGTTTGTTTGTTCATTCATTCAAAAAATATTTATTGAATACTATTCTGTGGTAGATCCTAATTAAATACTTGCATTTTTGGTGTTGAACCAAATAGATATGGTTCTTGCTGTTATAGAGGAGCCTTATAAGTGAGATAGACATTAAGTAAATACATAGATTTTGTAAGCTTTTTCTAAGTGCTCTATAAGATAGTAACAGGTTGTTGTGAATGTATGTGGAACTTAGTTAGATTGAGGCTCAGAAAGGCCTTTCTGAAGAAAATATGAAGCAGCCAACTATGTGAATAAAATTGGGGTTAGTGGGGGTAGTCAGGGAGGTAGAATGGAATAGCCTACCTCCAATAGCAAAGTGATTGATCCTTTTAAGGAATTTGTGGCTGGAGTAATAAGTGGAACATTGAGTTGGAGAGATAGGCAGGGATCAGACTATTAAAGCAGGTCCTTATAGATCATGTTAAAGAACCTTGGATTTAATTTTAAGGAGAAGCCAGTGAAGATTTTTAAGCAGGGGTTTGTGTGATTTGATTTACATTTAAAAGATCACTCTGATTGCTGGGAAGACTGATTGAGGGGATTGTGGGGAGCAACAAGACTAGAAGCACGGAGACCAATTAAGATGCTGTGATAATAGTCTAGATGGTAAATTCAGGTTCGAAATTCAAGGTGGATTCAAGATACATTTTGGATAGCAAAGATGTATTTTGGAGGTACAATCAATAGACTTAGTGATGGATTGTATGTTATTGATAAGTGAGAGAAAAGACTTTTGGGTAACTGTGTATGGAAATAATATTTACAGAGGTAGAAAAGATTGATAGTAAAGCAGGTTTAGAGAAATCAGAGTTAGTTTTAGGTAAGTTAAGTATGTGATGTCTCTGAAAAATCCAAGTGGAAATCGTGAATAGGCAGTTGGAATATATGAGTTGGAATATATGGCTGTATGTATCTCAAGCTCAAAAGAGAAGGCTGGACCAAAGTTATAAATTTTAGACTCTTGGGAATATATATAATATTTATTGCCACACGAAGAGATAAGACCAAGTAGGAAGAGAAGAGCAGTAGATCTGGAGGAAAAAACTACTAACATTTGGATGTGGAGGGAGAGGAGAAAACCAGAAGAATTCAGTATCATATAAGCCAACAGAAGACAGTGATTCAGGAGGAAGGTTGATATGATATTGATACGAAGAGACAGTATTTTAGGAGGATTATTCTGACAACTGTCTTGAGGACGAATTTGGATTATGAAGCTGGGGAGTTATGTGATAATGAGAAATCATTGTTTCCAGACAGTAGTTTATTTTTCAGCTTTGAAGGCCAAGATTGCAATGTGTTTTGTGGTTCCCTTAACTTAAGAGGTGAAAGAACAGGGAGAGAGAAAGCTCATATTGTCCTGGTATAGATCTGAGAGTAGTTTCTCAGTTAAAAGAATATTTAGTTCCTAGATAAGATGTTCTCTTGACAAGCACCTACACTATGCCAGACATTGTTCTTTACACTGTATTCTTTATATTTTTATCAAATCCTCATAACATCTCTTATGAAGTAAATAGTATCATCCCTTTCTTTCAGAGGTTAAATAACTTGCCCAAGTTCACACAGCTACGGGTGAAACCTGAGTTTGAAAACAAATCCATTTGATTTCAGAACCAGTGCTCTTTACCACTTTACTATAATTGTCTCTTAAGTAAGAATGTCTTTTGCAGCACTGTTGTCAGGTTTTAGAAATGTAAACTAGAAGAAATACTATTTTTTAAAGTAAAAAGAAAGCTATTTCTTTTTGTTTATATTTTCTACTTATAAAATATGAAACTAAAGGATAAGCAATAAAAAGAAAACTTCACTTACTTTTTGCCCTGAATGTTGTTCGGTTCCTGAAAATGTTAAGAGCTAGTTAAGTAATACTAGGTTAATAACAGATAGAATGGATAAAGGGATGGCACATTTCTAGAATCTTATTAATTTTTGCTTTCTGAACGAAACAAGCAAGCTGGAAAGTCTCCATCTAGTGGCAGTTTTGGGTTACTGCAGACTTGACACGAATTTGGCCACTACTCGTTGGGGCACTTGTCAGACTTAGTGCTAGACTATGACAGAGCATTTTACATACATTATTTCATTTCCTTCTTCATAACAGTACTAGAAGGTAGGTAGCATTAATTCTCATTTTTACATATGGGTAAATTGAGACTCATAAAATTTAAATAATTTGCTCAAGATGATAAAACTAACAAGTAGAATGTGTACTGGATTTTTTTGGATGAGTATGTTAATGGTGGGGAGATAGGAGAGAGATGATTTGAACAGATTATAAAGTATGCTGTATTTAGGAATGGAATTAACTGGCCACCTTTTTAAAGACTCTTGATACTTGCTTTTCATATTGTTCTCCAGAAGGGTTGAGTCAGTTTGCACTTGTGCCAATAGGCTTTAATGATACCCTTTTGCCCAAACCGTTGATAAAATGGGAGAACACTTTTTTCCTTTTTTTTTCAACATTTGTTTTTAAAAGTTTTTTTAATCCGTGAATTATCTGCCACTCTGATTATCATGCATATTTATGGTAACTTATAAGTGCCATTAAAATTTTTCAGTAAGAGATAGGGAACAGAATGTGTAAAATAATATTTTTATAAAAATAAATCTTGGGGGGGGTGACTCTATAGTGTAGTGGTTAGCCTGTCTGCTTTACACGCAGAAGGTCCTGCGTTCCCGGCCCCCGGTGGAGCCACAGACCCAACCCCCCAATCCTCCCTCCTGCAATCTTCCCTCTGCAGGCCCAGGGGGCCCCCGGCAAGCATGTGGGAGGAGACGCCCCGCTTTCAGAGGTCCATCTCTTAAGGGGAAATGGCAACATCCATAGGTCAGGGGTGGAAGTGGTGGGAGGGGTTTAAAGAGCGGGGGAAAAAGATAAATCTTATATGGCATAGATTAAAACAGAGTGACTGTTGGCAAGGAAACAAGGCAGATGATATTTGGTCTGGTTGGTAGCAGAAATAGGTGGAAATAGGAGTAAGCCTGCATGATAATATAAAGGAAGAATTAATAGGACGTGGAGACTGAGCAAGATGAAGGAGAAGTCAACAATGAATGTGAGACTTGTAGCATTATTTTAAAGGCCCAGAATTTACATATGTAGCTGATGAGTTTAACCTATTTAACTTTGATGTTCTTTGTACTTTTATTATACATTGAGGCCCCCACATGTTTTTTAAAAACATTTTTTTATTGCAATAAAATTCACATAACTTAAAATTTACCATTTTAACCATTTTAAAGTATACAATTCAGTAATTGATAGTGTATTCACAAAATTGTGCAACCATTACCACTAATTCCACGACATTTTCATTACTCTCCAACGAAACCTCTTACCTTCCAGTTACGTTTTCTCATCTTCTGGAAACCATTGATCTCCCTTCTGTCTGTGTGAATTTACCTAATCTAGACATTTCAAATAAATGGAGTCATACAATAATTGGCCTTTTGTGTCTGGCATTTTTCACTTAGCATAATGTTTTCATGGTTCAGCTGTATTGCAGCATATATCAGTTAGTACTTTTATGGCTGAATAGTATTCCATTGCATAGATATACCACATTTTACTTGTCCACTCATGCATGGGTTGATTTTATTTTTTGGCTACAATAAATTCTTCTATGAACATTTGTATACAAGTTTTTGTGTGAATATATGTTTTTAATTCTTGCGGGCATATGAAAATAGAATTGCTTGGTTAAATATGTTTAACTTAAAAGTGGCTGTACCATTTTACATTCCCACCAGCAATATATGAGAGTTTCAGTTTCTCCACATCCTTTCCAACACTTTTTATTTTATATATTAAAAATTATAGCCATCCTAGTGTGGAGTGGTATCTTATTGTGGCTTTGATTTGTATTTTTGTAATGACTGATAGTGTTGAGTATCTTTTCATGTACTTATCTACTTTTGTAGATCTTATTTGGAGTAATGTCTATTCAAATCCTTTGCCCGTTTTTTTGAAGAGAGGTTATCATAATTTTCCCATTTAACTTAATACTTGCCTATTTCACTGGATTTATTTCTCCAGAAAACATTATAATTCTCTATCACAAATTCTTATTTTAAGTGGCACATACTTATCCTTTTTTCTTCTAAATTTTGTTGTGAACAAAGTATTTAAAGGCTACTTAGCATACTCATATGTTCTGTCCTTTTTATTGTTTTTTTTTATTGTAGTAAAATATACATAACATGAGATTTACCGCTTCAACCATTTTAGATGTCCAATTCAGTGACATTAAGTACATTCACAATGTTGTGCAGCTATTATCACTATCCATTTCTAGAACTTTTTAATTGTCTCCAAAGACGTTCTGTACTTGTCAAACAATAACCTTAGGGCATTTATAATATTTTTGGAACCTTTTGAAATGGAACCTGGTTTATATTACATAAATCTCTTTCAGCTTTGATTCATTTTAAGGATTATATTATATAAAAGGTAGTAGATTGTGTTCTTTAATTTTCCTAATTGTCACTTGTCATTACTATTAGTTTGTGAAGGGATGATTTCTTGAAATGGCAAATGTGGTTATTTTGAAAAAAAAAAATTTACCATTATATATATAATGCATATAACTTATTTTTATAAATTGCATGTAACTAAAAGTTGAAATACATATATATATATACTGAAAATTTGTATAACTTATTATTTCAGGAAACTCAAGAATATACTCGAAATGTTGTTAGATACTGCATTGAAGCTCTCCAAGACTGGTTTGATGCTATTAACTTCGTAGATGAGGTATGTATATTTCGGATATATGTAAAAACATTTAAGAAAAGTGTTAGGTCTCATTTAATGTTGAAAATAATGAATACCTTTTCATGGGATAAGGGAAAGAAGTCAGAATTAATATAATATCATTAGGCTTTAAGAAAGGAGATGTGAGAGACCAGTTCTATGACATTTAGGAGGTTCCACAGTGCATTAATCATGTTTGCTTATTTCCTGGAAAAGGATATAATTTTTAAAAAAATGTATATGTCTCAGTATTTGTCAGGAGTAAATTAGTTTCATTTGAAGAGGTAAAAGTGACAGTGCAAATGTGAATAGGATAGGGGAGATTAATGGAAAAGGTATCAGTTGGTCAGCATTCTTCTATGGGCTTTAACAAGAATGATTGTTGTTAGTGAACTGAGACAAGTTGGTACAGAACATCCTCTGTATGATTAAATAAGGGCTTGCTTCTAATTTGTCAGCCAAGTTTACTTTTAGAAGCCCTTTCTATTCCTCTTATAAAGTGGTGTCAGAATATTCTATATGTAGAAGGAAGACCATGTTTCAGACTACTTCAACCCCCCATCTGATTTCTGAACCCTAGAGAGATAGAACCCCTGCTCTCTTTCTTTTGGTGGTGGTTGGGTGATCTCTTATTTCTTTTCTATTCTTTTCTAAATACTTTGTTATAATCACAAACTTATCAAAAAGTTGGAAGTAGAGTAAAAAGAAGTTTGTTTTCTTGAACCATTTGAAAGTTAAGTTGTTGACTTGATGACCATTACCCTAGATACTTTAGTGTATATTTCCTGTAAACAAGGACATTCTCTTATAAAACCAGATACAAATTAGAAACCTATAAAAATTAGGAAATTAACATTTATGTTATTACTATCTAATCCTTAGAACTCATTCATGGTTTACCAGTTGTCCAATGATGTTCTTTATAGTAAAAGGATCTTATTCAGAATCACATGTTTCATATTTAGTTATCATGTCTAAGTAGTTTTTCATTTCTTTTTACCTTTTACGACAGTGACATTTTGAGGAGTATAACTCAGTTATTTTTTGGAACATCCTTCAATTTGGATTTGTCTCATGGTTAGATTAGATTATGCATCTTTTGTAGGAATATTATAGAAGCGATATTGTGGTCTTTTTATTGTACACTGTATGGTGGTTTATGATTTTTGTTTGTCCTATTACTGATGATGTTTCCTTTGATCATTTGATTAGGGCTGTGCCAGCCAGACTTCTTCACTGTAAAGTTACTCTTTTTCTCATTGTAGTTAAGAATTTTGTGAGAATGTACTTTGAAACTATGTAAATATATCTGTCCATCTAATTTTCAATTAATTCATTAACTTTTATCTGTAGGGATTCATAGTTTCTATTTCATTCATTGGGTTATGATCTGTTATTTGATGTTCAGACTGTTTCAGATTTGGCCAGTGAGAGCCCCTTTAGCTGGTTTCTGTGTCCTTTTGACTCGTCCCATTAATCTTTGAGGACTTCCATTCTTTGGCCAAACAAAATGTTTTTGATTCACCTTATATGTTCCCTATTTCATTCCTGGAGTCAGTCATTTCTTTAAAGATCCCTGAAAACTTTTAGTAGAGAATAGTATTTAGAAAGCAAGATCCGGCTGCTTGGTCTGCTCACTGCTCTTAGGTTTTCTCAGTGATCAGAAGTTAGAAATACGTGTGTGTGTGTGTACATATTTGCATCTGTATTTCTTTGTCAAGTATGTATATTGAAAGCTGTGAGTTCAAACTGAAATTTTAACTTCCAATATAATACCATAGGACTTATTCTAGTTTTCCCCTACAGTGAAAAACCTGGCTTCTATTATTTTTAATACACTTATTTATTTGACTAATCCTTTTATAGATAACCGATTTCTCATCTCAGTTGCCTCCTTTCCCCCTACATAAATGCTCTCTTCTCCCTGCATTCTTTGCCCCCCTTGCCACATGTGGACACCCTCCTTATCTTGCTAAGGCTCTCCCATCTTGGACTACCCTTCTGTGAAGAAGCCCTTCTCACCTTATATGTGCTTTGAATTCCCACACTTGGCTTTTTCTCTTTTTGAATGTCCTCTTCATCCTGCTTTGGGTCTGATGACCATTTGGCCTTTTGCACACATGGATAATCTCCTTACCTTGCTTGTATTTTGATTCCCTATTCTAGGATGGCTCCTTATGTCATTGTCTCCTTTACCTTTGTCAGGCTCCGACTTCTCATCCCAGGTCAGTTCCCATATGGATGTCCTCCTCACCCTGATTATCTCCAACATATTATATTAGGTTGCCCTGCCGTATGGATGCTCTTTGGGCTCTTCTCAGATCTGACTGCCTGTGCCATACCACATCCTTTGTTAAACCACACATCCTCCTTTTTTTTTTGTTTATTTAACCCAAAATATTTCTGATATTTCATACCACCGCCTTCACCCCATATCTGACATCTCCCATCCCCTACCCACCAGTTGCCTATCTCACCCTTGGCTCTGACATACTTCTTTGGGTTCCTCACCTGTAATTGCCTATTTTGCTGTATTTCCTCTGTTAACCTTGCCCTCTGCCCCCGCCCCTCCCCCCCAGTCACTTTAGGATGGAATTGTTCAGAAGGGAAGAGCCACTTGCTATCTTTAATCCTTCTTGCCCCAAACTAATTTATCTTCCATCCCTGATTACCTCTCCTCCAACATTTGAGTCTGCATTTGGCCTTCAGTCTGGATTTTGTCCATTTGGATTCTGATTCTGCCTTCATCAAATTACCATGATTCTTATCTTGTCTAAATGTTGGTCTTTAAGCTTAAACTTTGTTTATATAAATGGTAATGAGTCACTTCAGAGAAAACATTTTCTGGCCTCCAGTGCTCCATCTTACTTTCAACTTGCTTTTAGTCCTTCACCCCATCTAGGATCAGTCCCTCAGATGGAGCTTCAGCTGGAGCTTATCTCAATCCAATTCTCATTGGTATTTGAAACTTTAGGAATTATTGTTGAAATGGTAGTCTCATTAAGACAACAGGAAGATTGATGTATGGAAGCATTACATCACACACAGAGGGTTATGTAGTAAGTGTTTGACATGAAATTAAGCCACGGTTCATCTCAAGGGTAGAGTTAAAGACATTAGAATCATGTATGGTATTCAGAGTGGCTGAACTAAAATAGTACATTTGTTTTTCACACAAAAATATTTTTTGAATGTTGTAAAGAATTTACATATATTTTTAAGAGTAAATAAGTAGAGAGAATGTAAGTAACAAATACGTTATTGTTTTTATGGAGTTTAAAAGTTTTTTTGTTAAAGTGCTTTGACATATTATATTCTTCAAAATGACCCTATGAAATAGAGAAGATTTTATTATCCTCCACTCTTATGTAGATGTGAAGTGGATATGAAGAGATATTAAATGACTTGCCTATAGTTATGTAGCAAATTACTAGTAGTTCTGGATCTAGAGCTCACATTTTTCAACTTTTGTCTCGTAGTAAGTATTTCAACTATACTGGTTGTTGGCAATGGAAAGAGCTTTAGAGTCAGGCAGACCCAAGTGTAAGTTGTGGCTGTGCTACAGACCAACTAGCTATGTGATTTCGGATAGTTTGCTTTTTTTTTTTTAAGCATTGCTTAGCCCATCTTATCTCTTTATTGAGGATGATAATGTTAGCCAATGAGGATCGACTAAGAGGCATATATTATATGTGTGATAAATATTTGTTCTTCATCTTTGTGGGTGGATGTCAGAAGTTATTATGGAAATCCTGCACAGATGAAGCAAATAATATTTTTCAAACTGAATTAAGCCAAACCCAACAATCAAATAGAATAAAGAGATGAAATAAATTTTCCTTTAAGGTAGGCCATTTAAGAATCCTCAGATACATGAATATTACGTAGGGCAAAATTTGTGAGTATGTAGCAAGGTAGTTTGACTAGAATCCCCTGAAAAGGGAGTAGTAGAACATGCATTCATTCAGCAAATGTTTATTGAATGTTTACTATGTTATAAACGTTGGGGCTACAGTGATGAAATAATTTCTAATTTAAGGAAATGCAATACAAGTAAATAATTAATTTGATTTCAGTGCTTCTGTAAAGTTGTAACTAGGTGCTATGGGGGAGCATAGAGTAGAGCATCTGAGCTAGCTTGAGGGACCCAGGAAAAACTTCCTAGTAGAAATATCATTAGAGCAAAGTCTTAAAGATATATTAATCCAGTAGGTAAGGAATGTATAGCATTTGAGGCAGAGGGAATAACATATACAAAGATATAGAAGCTTGGTGGGTTAGGAATACTAACTGTGGTGCATGAGTTTATATGATAGGAGATGAAGCTAGAGAGGTAAGTTCTGTCTTCTAAAGAGGTGGAAGGTTATCAGAAGGTTCAAAACTTTAGGGAACCATTAAAAAATTGTGAATGGAGGAAGTACAGAGTAAACTGATGTTTCGGTAAGACTACTTCCTGGCAGCATATAGAGGTTTAAATAGAGAAATGTGTTAATTAAGATGTTTTTGAATGTAAGGAAAAAGCATATTAAGGCAGCTTAATTTAAAAGAAGGTAATTTATTATGAGTAGAGAGAGGTATTTCATGGATCTTGGGCAGCTCAGGGACTGAGCGGAAAGCTGAACAGGAGCTCCTGACTCGTCTTTGCTTAGCCCCATCTGCCTCATTTTTCCTTCCCTCTCTGTAGGTTGGCTTTCTGTATTTCTTTATGGTGTGAAATAGTATTTTTCAATAGTTGCCTAATGTCACAGTTTCAGGCAAACTCCAAAACCTCTCTGCAAATGTCTTTGAATCCCATTTCAAATTTTCAAGAGGTAGAGACCTTCATTTCCCAGTTTAGGTTAGGTGTCCCCTGCCCTGATTCCAGTCAGATGTGGCTACTATAAACTTGACTGTTAGGGTTTAGTCTGTGCGTGCGTGCGTGCGTGCGTGTGTGTGTGTGTGTGTGTGTGTGTGTGTATTGGGAGGTGGGATAGGGACGGATGTTCTGAAAAGATGAGGAGGGTTGTGAGTTAAGCACATCCTACAAAAGATGTCTTTATAGAGGGTGAGACTAGAAACAAAGACTACCACTGAAGTTAGACACTAAATGTTGAGGGTCTGAGCTAAGATTGTTTAGGGGTAGTCTGGAAAAAGAAGAAAGTAGATTTAAGAGATACTTAAATAATCAAATTAACACACTTGGGTACCTCATCAGATGTAGGAGGCTTGTAAGAGTTAAGGAGTCTGCCTTTCAAATCTGAATTATTGGGAATTTGGAGAAGACAGATTCAGGAGTATTGAGTTTTAGAGCAAAGATACTGAGTTTGGTTTGGATACAACTGATTCGTGGTCGCCATGGGATATTAAGTGTTGATGTTCCAATAGACACTTGAATGTAAGGTTTGGAGTTTAACTGAGTGAGAATTCTGCTGAGATTTGGGAGTCATCTCAGTAGAGTTGGCATTGAAGCTATGAATCTGGATAAAGTCACCTAGAATGAGAAGAGTAGAAAACCGAGAATGGAATCTGAAGAAGGGAAATTGAGGGAGATTCTGACTTAGCTAGTTAGTGTAGAATATGATACGAAAATAGTTATGGTAATAAAGGGCAAACTTATTTTTAATTGTAAAATACATATAACAAAATTTACCATCTTAACTATTTTAAAGTATGTAATTCAGTGGTGTTACGTATATTCACATTGTTGTGCAACCAATATCTAGAATTTTTTATTTTGCAAAACTAAAACTCTATATCCATTAAACTACTCATTTTCTCTTACCATTCCCCAACCCCTACAACCACCATTATATATTTTGTCTCTACGATTTGACTAAATACCTCATATAAGTGGAATCATACAGTATTTATCTTTTTGTGACTGGCTTATTTCACTTAGCATAATGTCCTCAAGGTTCATTCATGTTGTAGTGTGTGTCAGAAATTTCTTCCTTTTTATGAAAGGCAAACTCTTATTTATTATAATAATTTTCTGTAGCCATTTATTCACTCACATTTTGAGGAAGATGTTCTTCTCATATTGGTTTTAGAAAAAACTTTCAGGGATGGTGACATATTGCAACTCTTTATACTGATATTACATTAGCATAATCATCTGAATATTCTGGATAAAAATTTTTTACATGAAAAAACTTTACTAAAAATTTATAAAAGCATTAAAAATAAATAATACCTTTTAAATTAAATTTTTTTCTTGTTTATTTAAGAGGGACAACTGTTGTGTACTTTTGCCCTATAGTGATAGTGTGACCCATGGGATTTACAGATTTAAAATGCAAATTTTATAATATTCACAAGAATGCCAAATGTCCACATATACTGAACTAAGCTTTCTTTTGGAGACTGTGTGTTCAGCACTGACTGATATAGGGAATATCCCACCCAGTTTATGAAGGAATCTAGGCAAGCCGTTCACCTACACTCAGTTTAGGGCTGTGGCAAAAGCCTCTTACCACTCTAAATATAACATTGGAGTCCAGACTACCTCCTCAGTTCACTACTGGTTAACTTTAGGAAGTTACCTGCATTTTCTAAGCTTGAATTTCCCTATTTATAAAATGGGAATATTAATAGTTCCTGCTCCATAGGCTTCTTGTGAAGATTAAATAAGGTAATGTGAATAAAGTGCTTAGCATGGGGACTGGCACATAGTAAGTGCTCAATGACTGTTAGTTGCAATTTTTGTTCTTATTACTATCATGATATTTGGTATGCATACATTTGAAGATTCTCAAATGGCCTCCTGTAAAGGGAAATCTCTCCTATCCCTTGTTCTGTGCTAGATGCTTCAAAGGAGTCAAAGTTGAGTAGTATACAATTTCTGCCTTTAAGTAACTTGCAGTCTAAAATGGAATAATTTTATCTACAGTGTTTTTTTAAAGCTATATCTTCTAAAATGTTAAGTTTTGATTAAAAAGTATTGGAATAAATCAAGGCGAAAGTGTGGTTTTAGCATTTTTAAAAACATTATTTGACTCGTGGGTTTTGTTTCTTTCTTCCAGCCAGCACCTAACCAAGTCACTTTTCATCTGCCACTACATCGTTACTATGCTATGTTTTTGAGTAAGGTAAGACTGTCATTAAACAATTTAAAAAATTCAAAAATAAATATTAAATTAGTAACTTTCTTTATCATAATTTTTAGGCTGTGAAATGTCAAGAACTAGATTTGGATTCTGTTTTACCAGATCAGGAAATGTTAATGAAACTAATGATTCACCCACTCCAAATTCAAGTATGTATTCAGGCCTTTAAAGTGTTTTGAATTGAATTCTTTGGTTAAGTAAGTCTCTCTTTATTTTATTTTTATGCTTTTATCATTGCTTTTATAGCCAAAATATTTGAAAAAAAAATTTGGTAGTTAAAATAACAAAAATAGTTTTGGTATTTTTGCCAGATTATATTTAGGTGTTTTTGCTTTTATGAGATTTACATTTAGTTATAATTTCCCCAGGAATTCTTTTCACTATATTGACTTACAGGAGAGTTTTACAGCACTGTTTTAGGAGTTAGGAGACCCAATAAAGTCTATCCTTGGTGCCACCACTGTTTCATTATCCATGTCGTTTGGGGGTAATTCACCTACTCGATTCTTGGTTTCAGCATCTGTAAAATGAAAGGAGGGAAAAGAGAGAATTAGCTCGCATAAGTCCTGCAGTTTCTTTCAATTCTAGCACTATAGTTTTGTGGGCCAACCTTTTATGTACGTTAGAGGGACTTGCACTTCATTTTGTTTTTCTGGCAATTTTAGATTTGTTAATCATTATTGAACTTTAATTTTGGGGGTTAGGAATAAGTATAACTATACTTTTTTTTATAACTTATAAAAAAGTTATAACTATACTTTTTTTTACTTGATACAAGATATGAATACATGAAGAATGAAATATGAACAGTAAGAAAATTTATTCTGATCTGACCTTCTCTTATTTGGAAAGTGACTAGTTTAGATTGAAGGCTGAGTTAGGGCGAATTAAATATACAGATTATATTCTTTGACTTTGAACACTTGGCTTTGTTTTATGCTTATTCCTGTGTTTCTTTAAGCATTATGTATGTTTGGGGAGAGTAAATATAAGTGCCACTGATTCCTCATGAAAGATTTCAGTGAAAATTGCTACAAATGTATCCAGGAGTCATGGAAAACTAACTCATGTATAAAGTCCAGAAGAAGGGACTATATAAAGCACTCAAAATGTTTAAAGTATATATTTGAATTGACATTTAAATTGAAATAGAATTGAAACTAACATTGGACAGAATGTCAGGCTCATACTGGGGTTAAGTTATAAAATATTTTGAAATGATTGTTTAATATAATGTGATTTTATAAAGATTGAATTTAGATGACTTCTTTGTACAATTTATGTAATTTTTATTTTACTAGGCAAGTCTTGCTGAAATCCACAGCAATATGTGGGTAAGAAATGGTCTGCAAATCAAAGGACAAGCCATGACCTATGTTCAGTCTCATTTCTGTAATTCCATGATTGATCCCGACATTTACCTATTACAGGTAAGCCAATTTGATAATGCAGATGTTGTACTTTAGGGATGTCTCATTTGTACCCACAGGATTTTAATTTATCGATGTGATAAATGATGGCAGAGCGAGGTCATTGCTATTCAAAGAAAGATTTATTACTTACATTCTCCAAGAGAAAGGGGCTTATCACATCACGCAGGACCACTGAGGAAGCATTAGATTTTGGTCAGGAGGTAGAAGCAGGAGTGAGGGGCAATAAAGCAGAACCTTTATTGGGGTTTCCACAGGAAAGGCAAGGCAAGGCAAGGGAAACACGTTAGGATGGGCTAATTTGAATAATTCTGATGAGCTTTGGGGTGTAGAGGCTGTCCCCAGCTATCTGGTACCTGGCCTTGTGGGGGTGGAGGGAATATTGGCTTGGTGTGTGAAAGGTAGATAAAGGGGCGCTTTATTTGTATGTAAGTAGCTTGCTCCCAAGTTAAATTGCTTATTATCTCTGGGAATTAGCTAGCCCTGAAAGGGGAGTAATCTTTCCCTGGGTGTTTAAGGCCCCCCAAGATAACAAAACATAAGATGCAGAAGAAAAAGATTAATATAAGAAGTAAAACTGAATATTAAGCAATAAAATTTGTGGGTTTTTTTTTTTTTTGATCTTTTAAAGGTTTGTGCTTCTAGACTTGACCCAGACTATTTTATTTCATCTGTCTTTGAAAGGTAAGCATAATTTTATTAAGACAGATATTAGGAGGTATTTGGAATTTAATTTTGTTTTAACTTAAAAAAGTCTCTCTCAAATATTTCTTGTAGATTTAAGGTAGTGGATTTGTTGACAATGGCTTCACAACATCAAAACACAGTACTTGATGCAGAGCATGAGAGATCGATGTTAGAAGGCGCTCTTACGTTTCTTGTGATTCTTTTGAGTCTTCGTTTACATTTAGGTAAAAAGCACTAATACTAATGCTTGGGTAGTAACTATTCTTCTCCCTTTCCTCCCCTCTCCAAGTGTTAGTAACTGGCTTATGGAAAAAAGGAAATGATGTGGATATATTTGAACAGACTTTCAAGCTCTTGATATGCTATACAATTGATACCCCTTTTAGAATATCCTTTAAAAAACCATTGATTTGAGGGAACTGCAAACTGCAGGGTAGTTAAACTGCAGTTATATTTGGGGCATTGCATTCTTTGCTCTTTAATTTTTGACATATTTTATTTTTGGTAAAACAGCTTAATGTATGGCAAATTGTTTCTTTATAATTCAATTCTGTTTTTAACTATTTTAGGAATGTCTGATGATGAGATTCTCAGGGCAGAGATGGTAGCCCAGCTGTGTATGAATGACAGGACACATAGTTCATTGCTGGACCTCATATCCTTTTAAAACTTTAATTTTATTTTAGCAGGATCTAAATAATAAGTAATTTTTATGGATTAAAAATATATAACTTTTTTGATTAAAAAAGTTTTTTTTTGAAGTTGAAAATAGTATAGAAAAAGAACTTAGTTTTTGTTTAACTGTGTTCAGGGCTAGTGGCAGATGTTTTTGCCTCTAATTGTTGTCTCTCAGGGACCTCTTGTTAGACCTGGTTTAGACTGCAGGACTGATGGCTCTGGGCACTCCAGGATATGACCTTCTAGGACAATGTTAGTGAAAGGAAGCTGAATACCTTGTAAAAGGCAGCTGGGTCTACTTTATCTGTATAGCCTGGCTGCAATTCATAGTTAAAATGTAGAGGTATACCTTAAAATTATTACCAGGATTTTAAACATTTTGAGGATTTTTTCTTAAAATTCAGTCTTAAACCAAGAGGTTTTTAAGGGCAGAGACTATTGTCTACAAACTTTGAAAACTTATGGTTCATTGAATAGGGCTGATCATACAGTTTATTATTGGACACATTATTTTTTGTTACTGTTAATAAAATTTTAGACAAAGACCATTTTGCAACTTTGTGGTAAAAACTTATTTTGTAAACTTTTGGCTGAATTCACTTTGTGTATTTTGAATATGTTTGGAATAATTTCCTAAAATTTTGCGAAATAACTCCTATTGGAATGCCTTCAAGGTTTGATAACCTTGAAGATTTTAGTAAGCAGCATCAATTTGATATTGTTTGATGATTTCTTTCAACAATTATGTATTGTATATCAGTGCTATAACAGTAAAAGCATTCTCTGTAACTTTGAATTTAAAATAATTGTATAATGGGAAACCAGTGAGAAAGAATGTGATTTTTTTTTTTTTACTTTCAAGATGATATTTTATGTTTTTGGAAAAATAATCTTTGCTTATAAAAATCTTGGTTAATTTTTAGCATATTCGCTGATTTGCTAAGAGAAAGCACATTACTTGCAAAATGTCGAAAATGGAAATTAATTTTTAAAAAGTTATTTTTCATTTCTTGAAATTTGATTAATTTGTTTTTGGGGAAAATATACTTTGGAACTACTTTAGCATATAATTTGTTAGTAGGTTTCTAGATTAAAAATATTAAAATTCACAATTAATAAAAAATTATTATTGAACTCTTGTATTATATAGCCCTCTTGTGGCCAACCTTTTATATTACAGCCAATTACCTTGCCCTTTTTTTTTTTTTTTAAGCTAGAGTACCTTGGTTAGATTATAAAACTCACTTTTGGTCATTAATTTTTTTCTTGACACATGCATCATATTCCAGAAAATCCAAATCCCAAAAGTGGCATTATTCCGGGCAGTTATAGCTTCGAATCAGTTTTATCAGCTGTAGCTGATTTTAAGGCTCCTGTTTTTGAACCTGGAGGTTCCATGCAACAAGGCATGTATACTCCTAAAGGTATGTTTATATAAATAAACATTCTTTGAAATATCGGTTTTCATGAGTTGCGTATACTGAAAGAAAATGTTTTGCCTTTTATTTATTCTCAGCTTTGGTATTTTTTCTTCAGCTTTCTTATAGATGTGTTTGTCTTTTATGGTATACAATGATATCACTTCTATTTATTTATAAATCTATGGTTTTATGTTCCAGTAAGGCTTCTTACATGACTCTGAATTATAAATGGAACTTTATATATGAACTCTAGTTCATTTTAGTATTTGAATAAACTAAATGAACCACATTATAAAACAAAATATATACTTAAAAACATTTTGAATGTATTTGCTGTCTAAATTTGATTTTGAAATAATTCTCACTAAAATTTTAATTTTAAACAGTTAAAATTAAAATCTATGTAGAATGTTGAAACATTTTCTTGCATTTTGAACCTCTGTAAATAGATAGACGCCTTCCCCTTAAGTGGTTGGTTTTCTAAGGTTTTCCCCCTGGATTTATAGATATGTTTGAGAAAAGCCAGAAGTAGGTGAAGTCTCGATTCATAGTCTTTTCTTTTTAATTCTCACATTTTCACTAATCTGAGTTAAAAATTTGAAAGAGATAGCAGTTTCATGCTTCTTGACCCCCTTAATACTCATTGTCTAAATGAGAAATTGATGCCCACTTTGAAGTTATAAATAGCATGTACTGTGTTTGGCAAAACACAGCAGATTAGGCCTTATCATGTGGGATTTTTTCCAGGGAGTTTACCAAAGTAGCAAGAACAATCCAGAGTATTTGGTTGGAATATATTCTATTAAAGGAGAAGCACAATATTTCTTTATTATAGAGAATATTTTGTATTTAGATGAACTTCCAAGTAGTGGTGTTCTTGTATAGTGCAGTGCTTATTAAATATGATGTGAGGTTTACCCCTGTCAGATTCATTCACGGTCCTTATTAAAAAAACAGGTTCCTGTGCCTCAGCCCTAGTCTGTTCTCATTAGGATCTCTGGAGATGGATTCTGGGAATATGCTTTTTTAGCAAGCTTTATAAGATGATTGCCATGAACAATAAAGTTTGAGACACTGAGATGGAGCATTGGGCATTTGGAGTTTAGAGTCAAGAAATTGGGTGTCATAATTCAAATATGGTACTAAATTGTATTAGCTAGTTGTGTGATGTTAGAAAATCAATTTATCTTTGGATTTGACTTATTTGTGAAAGGAGAGAGTTGGAATAGATGAGTGATTTTTAAGCCTTTAAAAAGTGGTTGAAATAAGCCTTTTTAATTTAAGAGAACTAAGCCTTAAGTGAATCTGTTACACAAAACCAATAAAACCAACCCTACCCTTGAAGTGTGTGTGGTTAGTGGACATTGCTTCTCATCTGTTTTGCCATCTCCTTCCTCCTAAAGTGGGCCTTGTTAAACTTCTGTGGAAATTCACCTCTAATGGAACACTGTTTGAAGCCTGCTGGACAACTAGTTAAGCACTGAAGTTTCTTCCATTGCTCTGTTTTTATAATTTTCATAAAAGCATTGGCATTTTAATTGGAAAAATTAATAGATTTAAGAGTGAAAGACAGTAAAGGATAATAGAAACAATAAAAGCCTTTGTCTTTGTGAAGACCTATTTTAAGGATCTTAAGTCATACTTATGATAATTTAAAGTGAATAGCATGTTACCTGAAAGTAGAGACAATTGTTAATAGTTTCTTATGCTAGAAAGTTGAAATTATAGATGTATAGGGAGAAGCTTAAACTTCTAAATATCATCTCTACTATTATATACTTGGCATGCTGTATTTTCTTAAATGAATTCACTTTTTTAAAATTTTGCCTCATCCTAACCACGATTATTAGTTTTTATTTGCAATGTAGAATTTTCTAATACGTATTAATATAATTATATAATTATTTTTAAAAAAGCTTTGTGTAGTTAGTACTTAAAATGGTCTTGTGTACTACCAGTTGTATATACAACCACGTATGGGATAGTGGTTTCTAATTATGGAGAAGGTAAGGAGATCAATTATCAGTTTCAAAATGTCAGTACCATAACAACTTTCAAAAGTGTTAACGCATTGTGTTTCTTACTTGCTAGTAGGCATTTTATCAAAAAAAAAAAAGCAATGAACTAAATGAACTAAATTTTTATGATGAGGCATTACCATATAAAACTTTTTGTTCACTAGTTCTTGCTGAACTTAAGAGAACATTCATAATGATGAAATTATGATTTTTGACTTAGAAAAGTATTCACTACATCAAGCTTATTAAGGCAAACATATAATCAAATTAAACTATCCCATATTTTAAATTTAAAATATACTTAAATGTAATTAGTCATTAGAAATTGACTTTATTCCTAAGAAGTCAGTGTTTTGTTTCTACTTTCTTTTGAATACTAGCTGAAGTCTGGGATCAGGAGTTTGACCCCGTCATGGTCATTCTTCGCACAGTTTACCGTAGAGACGTGCAGTCTGCAATGGACAGATATACAGCATTGTAAGTCTGTTATATTGATTAGAATAATAATGGATATTTTGTATGTATATAGAAAAATTCCAGTTATAACACAAATGTGATACGCTGTCAGTAAAGTATAGTCTCAGTCTTTAGAGAAGATACAGACTGAGATAAAAAAATTTAGCTGAGATGTTTATTCTCTAGATCTTGATCCAAAATTTGATGTTAATTTGATAAAAATAAATTTTATAAAACACCACAAGTAAACAAATAAAAAAATAACAAACTTACTTAGTTGCTATTTGACCAGTGGAATTCAAAGCTTGGTTTTGTGTTGTTCTGCTTTTAAACCAGTAGAGGTGGCACAAGTTAAGAGAATAAAATTGTCTTGACATCAGAGATGACGTATATCTACAAAGTATGGTAATATTGCTGTGTTCTTGACAACTGGGAAAGCTTTGAAGGGTACCTTTTTAATGAAGAATTCAATTTTGTATGTTATTGTTGTAGACTATTTTTAAAGTGTTTTTTTCACCTATTTTTAGACCTTAATATTATATTGTGAACATCATAGGCTATCATCTTTTATTTGTGCTTTTCTAAAGCTTAAGTTAAACATTTGAAAAACAAGTTTAAAATGATAAGATGTCTTTAATCTTGAGAAAATATTTTGTCCTGGTTACTATCAAAGTGTAAATATAGATATTAGGTATAACTGAAACTTCTTTTACCAAGACTTTGCAGTAATAGATGTATACTGAGTTAAAGATCCATCACAGATATATCTGAAGAAAGTTTGTAGTGCTGAATTTTAGCATACTTCCCTCTGCCCCAAAACAAAACTTATTTCAGCCATTTGCATCTCTCTTTACCTTTCTCTAAAACCCTTGGGGAGAGAGTCTGAGGTTCTCATTTCTCTGCTTTCTTAGCATTGCTTTTTATGCTTATATGGTTTTATAGCTGTTTGCTTGTAGGCTTTTAGTTCTTGAGGAAGATATTTTTGTCTGTATATGTCTTTTATATCCTTAGTACCTATTTCAGGGCTGGCATTAAGAATATATTTGTTGAATAAATACATTTGAGTGGTTCACTTTGGAAAATGAAAAGATGGGCAGAAGGAAACATTTGCATGGAAAACCTAATGTGACCTTCATAAACACTGCTGTCTTAAGTGGTTCTGCCTTTTTTCATGGGGTAGTGGTAGTGGCCGCTCATTTATGTATAAAAATTTAAATGTATAGTAAATTTTATTCTTTTTACTTTGTAATAGATAGAAATTCGAACTGGGATTGGGCTGAAACTTTCAAAGCCTTGAAAGTCATTAAATAATATAAACAGTTTTAAAGGGAAAATTTTATTTTAACAGTACACATTTATTGAATGTGTTATATGCTAGGACCTCTATAAAATAAAGAGAATTGTATCTTTTATTTTGCACATAGCAAACTTTTAATTGAGCTCCGAGCAGTTAATTTCCATTATTTGGACTTGTGGTTCTCAACCATGAGTGATTTTTATCCTCCAGGAATATTTGGCATTGTCTGAAAACTGGGCAGGTTGTTACTCACATCCAGTAGAGGCTAGGTCTCCCCCCAACAACAAAGAATTATCTAGTCCCAAATGTCATTAGTGTTAAGGTTGAGAAACCCGGTTTAGACCTATAATGACATACAGGTAACCTTTTCTGTTTGCAGGTTATCTTGTGTTTTTAAATGTATTTGTGTTATTATTATTTAAAACTACATCATAATATGATTTATAATTATTTCACGTAGTTAGGGAAAACTATATCCTCATAGCTATTTTTATTTTTCCTTTTTCTTATTTTGCTTCCCCCTCCCCCCTAATTCTCTTATTCCCCATTTGGCTTTTTGAGTTCCTGTATAATATCTTTATAGTTTCTTAGAAATATTTCTGAAGTGCTATGATGTTTCTTGGCAGTTTGAAAATCTTTATTTTAAAAGAAATGTGTATTTAAATAAAACAATAACAAGGCAAATAAACATACTCTCTGACTTCAGTCAAAAACCTTTAAACCATTTTCTTGTAAGTTAATCTTCGAAATTTTATGTGTAAACTATTATATTCATTTAATAACATTTTGTATACTTAAAGTAATTATCATACCTAGGAAGAAATGTGTGTGTTTCCATGTAAAACTTAATTTTTTTGGAAATTTATTTTGTATGTGAAATATAATATCAGCTTCTTTTATGTGATATCTTTTATTTGCTGTATATTTGACTGTTAATTGACTATTTTAGTTCTTATTAAGGCATAACTAGGAAATAACCCTAAACTGTAGGATTTACTATTACTTGGCTATTGGTCACTTTCATTTTCTTTTAATTTTAAAGGTACAAAAAGGGTTAAACTGTGATTTTACTGAATCTGGTGTTTTATTTGCAAGAAGACAGTGGAAAGTCTTCAAAAGACTAGTGAAAAATGATCAGATAAATTAAAACTATTATGTACTCAGAACTAGCTTGGTGCTAGGTACTTTGTAGGCAATCAGTTATTGCTAAATGAGTGAAAAGTAAATTTCTTTAAATTTTTGTGCTGAGAGTTTAAGTGAAAATAGGTCATTTGCGTTATATGATATTTAGATGTTTAGAATCTTAGGATCTTATTGCTGGGAAAGGCCTTCAATATTTATCTAGATTCTATAAAATTATCTCGGGGCCATCACTGGAAGAGTGGGTTGGACAACAGCAAGAGGAGGCCTAAGCGAATGCAGGTGGCTCATCTTGCTGCCATCCCTTCCTCCCAGTACCCCTTAATGAATCGGTCAGCTTTTAAAAGGAAAACAAAAACAAAACAACAAAACAAAACAAAACAGCAGTTGGAAAACCATCCATTTAATTCAATGTTTTATTTTACATATGAGGACATTGTGGTCTACAGAAGTTCAGTGAGATATGTTTGTTAAGGACAGTGTTGGAACTATTGTCAAGGCTATTTCCAAAACACAAATGTGATTTTTATACAATGGCTGTTTTAAATTCAGCTGGAAAGTAAAAATTTTAAAACTATAATTTCTGATATTTTGTTGCATCCCATCTTCCATCTTGAAGGTTAATGGCTGCTGGCCCATGTTTGAAAGTATGATGTATGAGTGTATATATATCAGTTTGTCTAAAACTAGTCAATAATTAGGTGTCGGTTTGAGACACTTAAAAATTTTTTTGCTGTCATGTAGCTTTTCATTTGCATTATTCCATTAATGCTTTTGAAAAGAGCAGTCAAAATGATGTATTACCTGCTGCCTTGAACAAATATATAACCTTTTTTTGGAACACTTTATTAACTTATGTGCTGCATGTTTAGGGGGTAGTGCTTAAAGCAAACAAAGAAACAATAAAATCTAAAAATTGCTTTTCTATATACCAAATAAAATAGAATAGTTGAAATACTTTATCATAAACTATTGGGATTGCTTTGAAAATTATGTTTGTATGTAGCTACTATAGTGTTATATAGAATCTTTTTAAATGCAAACTTAATTCTAGATAACTCATTTCTCTGAGTATATATTAATATTATAATATATAAATTTTTTTCTTTTAAAGATTTTTTCCCCTTCACCTACATAATGTCTGTTTCCTCTGTGTTGAGTTATCTATTGTTTGTCTCTAGCTTCCGTGTTAGTGGGATCCTTTGGATATCTGATAATTCTTGTGATAAAGAGCTCTCAGTGCCTTGGTGGAACTTGTCTATTCTGAGCTTAATGGAGGGTGATTTGGACAAGCAGGTTCACTGAGAAGCCCTCATGTTAGTCTCTTTAGAACTTTTTTTTGGTCTGGTGAGATTCCTTAGAGAAATATATTCAAATATTGTTCAGAAGGCAATGAATTCTCCAGCCAGAATTCTGTTAGAGTGGGGAAGGAGTTTTCATCCAATCTTCATTTTAGCTTCCTATCTCCCCACCTCCAGTTTTTGAGGTGCCAGATGCTGCCAGTTTCTAAGCTTTTTGAGGATTCTGCAGTGTAATTTGGATTGATTCTCAGCTTTCCCTATTGCTTTCTTGTGTTTGGCTGTCTTAGGTTTACTAGATGAGTTATCACATTTGATTTCTAATTAACACATTCGCTTTCCGTGTTTTTTTCTTTTCTGATTTTCCCTACCTTTGTGATTTTCATCCTTTAAAAAAAATACCATTACTGTAGTTTTATTGGAGTTTTGGGTAAAAGTAAAATTAAATATTTATGTTCATTCTGTCATTTTAACTTTAAGTGCTAAATGTATAACTTATTTAGTTTGCATGCTCTAGATTACTAGTTGAGGTTGGGTTTTTAACAATCTATTTCCCTTCATGTTTCTTATTGTGAGAAATGTGTATGGATTATTTTGTTGATTTTTCTATTAGATTGTATAAAGTTTACTAGTTCTACAGTTTTACTTTTTATATTTTATATAAAAAGTAGTGATTTATTTTCTTTTTCCCTACGGAAACCCTTTTGCTCCAGGACCGTTTATTGAATGATGCATCCATTTCTCAATGATCTGTAATGCTAATTACATCATATACAATTGATCCTCATCATTTGCAAAGTCTGTATTTGTGAATTTGGCTACTTGCTAAAATTTATCTTTAAACCCCAAATTAATTAATACCTGTCGTACTTTCTTGGTTATTCGAGATATATGTGGTCATGCAGAGTGCACCTAGATGAGGTCAAAGCAAAGCTCTGCCCTCTTGTTTCATCTCTTACACTGTAATGGTCCTTTTTGTGGTCTATTCAGTGCCATGTTTTTCCATTTTAGCCCTATTTGTTGGAGATTTTGCTGTTTAAAATTGTCCCCAAATGTAGTACTGAAGTGCTGTCTAGTGTTTCTAAAGGCAGAAAGACTTTGATGTGCCATGTTGAGAAAATTCATTGTTAGATATGCTTTGTTCAGGCATGAGTTATAATGCTATTGGCTGTGAGTTCAGTGATAATGAATCAATAATATGATATATCCAGAAAAAGGTGGAGGAAATTCACTAATCTGTACATGAAGCCATTTCAAAAAGTGCTTAAGTAACATCTGTAGTGTGTGATGAAGCCATGAGAAAGCTGAAAAACTAAATCTAGACTCATGAGCTGATGACTGATAAAAAAGTGTAGTGTGTAGCATTGTGTTGAGGCTGAAAGCCAAAGAAATTTATTGTCATGTTTACCCAAGGTCAGGAAAATGTTAAACCCTTCTTGGCTGGTGCTGGCTGGCTTGCATGTTTCAAAAGGTAATGTGTGAAAAATGTTAAACTTGTAGGCAGGGTAGGTTCTGCAGATCAGGAGGTGGCAGAACTTGCTAAGAGTTATTCAGGAAGTGGATAATATGGAAGAGCAGATTTCCAATTCAGTGTGGATGAGACTGCCTTGTTTTATAGACATTTTCAAAGAAACTTATATAATGCAATGGCATTTAGATAGACAAAAAACGTGACCCCAGACATGCAGGAACCTAACTCTGTGTTTCCCTTAGGAACAATAATTCAGTGTTTGTGATGACTTTATAGAACATAGCTACTATGAATAAAGACAATTGATTATCTTTCTATCAATCAATCATCTATCTATAGGTCTATTTCTCTTCTGTTCATTCTATAAACTAATACTATACTGTCTTAAATACTGAGTCTCTTTCCTTTCTCCTCTTCCTTCTCCTCTTCTTCTTCTTCCTTTTCCTACACCTCCTTCTCTCTTCTATTTATAATAGTTATTCTTGGCCTTTTGCTTTCGTGACCACATCAGATTTAACAATAAAACCTGTTGGATTTGATTGAAATTGTACTGAATTCATAGATTAATTTGGTAGAAATGCCATCTTAACAGTAATGCATTTTTCTATCCATGAACATGGCATGTATCTCCATTTATTTAGTTCATCTTTAATTTTTTTCAATAAAATTTTATAAATTTTTTCCATAAAGGTTTTGGATATCTTTTGTTAGTTTTATTCAAAGTTATCTTATAATTTTTGTAGATATTGTGTGTGATATATTTCCTGAAATTACAGTTTTGTCTTTGTTTTAGCGACTAGGAATGCAGTTGATTGTTGTTGTTCATCTTAATGTTCAGCCTGATTCTTATTAGTTCCATTAATTTATAGATTTCTTAAAACTTTCTATGTGGACAGTTAAATTATCTGGGAATAATGATCATTTTATTTCTTTGTGTATACACACAAGCACATTCTTGTCTTTGCTGGCTAGGGTCTCTAGTATAGTACTAAATAATAGCAGTGATGAAAAGCATTCTTGTCTTTTTCCTAATGTTTTTCATGCTTCACCGTTAGATATAATGTTTGTTTTAGTGTTTTTGTAGTTACCCTTTATCAGGTTGAGGAAGTTCTTTTTTATTGTATGCTTACCAGGAATTTTTATTATGAAGGTTTTTATAATTTTATCGAGTGCTTTTCCTACATCTGTGTAGGTGATGGTCTACAATCTAAATATTCTTGCATAATTGAGAAAAACCAAATCTTGTCATGATATACTCTTTTTTTAAAAAAAATAAAATATGGCTTCATATGGTTTACTTGTTTTTAAAGAATTTTTTCCATTATACTTATAAGAGTGATAGTCTTATGATTTAAAAAATAATAGTGTCCGTGTATTGGTAACAAGGTTATATTAACATTATAGAATTATCTGTGTATTTTTACCCTTTTGCTGGTCTCTTAAATTTGTCAGAGATTGAGATTATCTGTTTCTTGAGTGTATTTTTTAAATAATGGCTTTATTTAGATACAATTCACACACAGTTCACCCATTTAAGTGTACAATACAATCAACGGTTTTTAGTATGTTTACAGAGTTATGCCACTATCACCATAAGAAATTTTAGAACGTATTCATCACTCTAAAAAGAAACCCTCTATGTATTCCTATTTCCCCAGCCCCCACACCCATCCTAGGCAACCACTAATCTACAGTCTGTTTCTGTAGATTTGCTTGTTTTTTGGACATTTGGGATCAAATGTGGTCTTTAACTGGCTTCTTTCACTTAGCATGTTTTGAAGGTTTATCCATATTGTAGCAGTATCAGTACTTCATTTCTTTTTATTGCCAAATGATGTTCCATTTGTAGGTATAGTTCACTTTTATGTATCCATTTATCAACTAATGGTTATTTGGGTTCTTTCCAGTTTGTGGAGCCAGTGCAAATAATACTACCATAAATGTTTGTTTTCTCTCTCTCTCTCTCTCTCTCTCTCTCTCTCTCTTCCTTCCTTCCTAATTAATTAAGTTTTTAACGCATTCTGTAGGTTATCTTTTCACTTTTTGGGAAGTGTCTTTGTAACACAAAAATTTTTAATTTTGAAGAAGTCCAGTTTGTCTGTTTTTTTTGTTTTTTGTTGTTTGTGCTTTTGGTGTCATATCTGTTGCTTAACCAAGGTCAGAAAGACTTATGCCTGTTTCCCTCAAGAACGTTATAGTTTTAGCTCTTACACTTAAGTCTTTGATTCCTTTTGAGTTGATTTTTACATATGGTATGAGGTAGTGGTCTAACTTTATTATTACTATTGAAGTTTTTATAGAACTTGCCTATTCAACAACTTGGGCCCCATTTTTTATTTTTTTGTTGTTAATTTAAAATTACTGACTTACTTTCTTTAAAGTCCTGCTTAGGATTTTTATGTATTCTTGAGAGGAATTGTCAAGTTATATTTCCCTTAAATCTTTTTTCTTTAGTATATAATTAATAATTTAAAAATTCTATCTGCTTTTTTATTCCTATTATTTATTTGTATTTGCTGTTTTTGTTCTTAGTCTTATCAGAGGACTGCCAGTTTTACTTTTTTTTTAAAAAATAAACTTTTGATTTTGTCATTTCTTTTTCCCCACTTGTTTTCTATTTCATTATATTTTCCTTTATTATTTGTTATTTTTTAACTTAGTTTGGATTTTTTTCTTTTATCTTGGATGCTTAGTTTTTGGTTTTTTAAAAAACATGCATTTAAGGCTGTGCATTTCCTTCTAAGTACTGTTTTACTTGTATCTTACAATTTTTTTCTAGATAGTTTATGTTCTAAATGTTTAAAATTTTCTGTTATGATTATAGTGATCTCTGAATTACTAAGAACATAGTGTTTTCAAATGTCTACATGTCTGGAGTTTTGAGTTATCATTGAGTTGATTTCTAGTGTTATTTGCTTTGTGACACATAGTTGTGGTCCTTATATTGGTTCTTTTGGTATTGTTCAGATTTACTTTGCATCTTATTATTTCATCAATTTTTATAAATGTTCTAAATGCACTTATAATTATGTGTATTCTCTAATTATTGGATGTCTTTATTTGTCTTTGGTTCAAGCTTGTTAATTGCATGGTTAAGAATCTTCAAAATTTTTACCAATTTCTTTTTCTTGGATTTTCTATTAGACAGAAAGACGTTAATATCCTCTATTAGTGAATGTGTATTTGTCAGTTTCTCTGTGTAATTCTCTCAGATTTTTGTGTTTTCAGTCTACTGTTATTATATACACGTTCATAATTATTATCTTCCTCGAGAGCTTTTTGTTTTTCCATCACAGAAGAGACAGACAAACTTCCTTATTTCTCCTTGTGAGTTATCCTTTCATTGAGGTTAAAGCTTTCAAAGGTCTCAGCTTTATGTGTAATCTCAGGTCCGTCTCCGAGCTCAGTGCCTTGAGGAATGTCTGCTTAAGTACTTTAAAACCATTGGCAAACAGCGTTGGTGCATGTTAATTCTTTTTTTCCTGGTAACTTGATGAACTTCACTTTCTTATTTTGAGTTCAAATATGCATTCAAAAGGTTATATTTAATATTTTATTCAGCTTTCCCAGCTGTAGTGGGAGAATTTTTAGATTATCTATTTTGTTTAATTGTTGCAACTGGAAATTTCTTTGTTTAGTTCTTTATTTTGTATTCTTTCTGTTTGTTTTCCTTTGTTAATGTTTTCCTATTTATATTTCTTTCTATTTCTCAGCTTTCTCTACTTATTTTTATTTAATTCAAAAGGAAATAGTAATGTTCATTGTGGAGAGAATAGATACCCGTTTACATTTTTGAGCAGTTTGATGAAAAATAATAATGCATAGAAGAATGTGATAAAAACTGAAGTCTATAAATCATTTTTTAAACTATAGTTTAATCCTGATTCTATCATCTAATTTTAGTTTTGTTTTATTTTTACAGTTTAAAACAGAGTGGAAAATTCCCTGGAAATCCTTGGCCTCCCTATAAGAAAAGGACACCACTCCATCCCAGCTATAAAGGTCTCATGAGACTTTTGCACTGTAAAACTTTACACATTGTGCTATTCACTCTGCTTTACAAGGTACAGTAGTAATTTGAATAGAGAAACTCAGACTAGAATTTACTTCCATAATTTTCAAATAAAAGTGCTAAATGATAATATTTACATAAAAGTACCATTTATAAAGCAAAGTGTATTTATACATTTAAGATGTATGAGGATATGTCATAATTACATATATGTGAATTCTAAGTTGAAATTATAGAATAGCTATATCATTCTTTGTAGGAAACTATTCATGTTATCCAGTTTCCAATAGGAATATTTACTTTTGGCTTCTGTAGAACAAGAAGTGAAATATTGTGAGAATATAGGAGGAATGGAATGAACAACAGGGACCAAATGACCACCAGAATCCACTAAAGTGACAAAACTAAAATGGCAGCATTTGGTGGCCAGCGACCCTGTGTTTAGTGTTGTTCTCTCCCTCTCCCTCGCCCTCGCCCATTCCCTCGCCCTCGCCCTCTCCCTCGCTCTCTCCTTTACCCTCTCCCTTTCATTTAACTCTGATCAGGAATGTGACATGGAGAGATTTGAATGGATTCCAAAGTAACAGCATTAACAATTTTCTTTTGTTAAATATCTTAGAAACTCAAAAGATGATACTTATACTTTCTTGTTACTAGAATTTATTTTATTCTTGGGTCTTCTCACACAGAACTGACATATTTGGCTAACATGAACTGTGTACTTAGAAATTGTATACATAATATTGTGGAGTGTGTGTGTGTGTGTGTGTGTGTGTTGGGGGTATGTATAAAACAAGCATGTATATATCTAATAGATGAAAGACAAAAGAACTATACTCATATAGATAAAATAACTCTAGACGCTTAAAAAGATTATAGACATAAAACAAAATTAGATGTAAATAAAACAACTGTTTTTTTCTTCCTAATTAGAATTTGAAAAATTAAAACTTAAATGCCATATAAAGAAAAGTAGGCATATTTTTCCTGAAAACTTCCAGTTAACTACATACACATTTTTTAATTACTTATGAAAATATACACTAAATTTAGTTAAGTAGATACTTTAGTTTTTTCCGTACTTTTTTCTGTGTAGTGAAATAATGCTTTTATATATCTGTATTCCCCTATTCTTTTCAACTTGACCAATTTTTCATTTTACTTGTAAAAGTTACTCCTGTTAAGATTTTAGACACGTGCCTCAAAAAGTATCTTGAATAGTTTATTTTCATTCATTTCCAGGAGGATTATTCAGCAAAATGATTCAAAATGTTCTGTTCTTCATTAAAAAAATAGAAATTTTTTTCTTCCTAGAAAGATATTTATATTTATACAAGTAACAGACATCCTTTGAATATTTACTTCATGCCAGATTTTGTTTCAAATGCTTTATATGTACTTATATATATTACTTTGTTTAATTCTAGCAAAAATCTTTATGAGTGAAAGTTCTGTTATTCTCATTTTTCAAATATGATCATTGAGCTTTTGAGGTTAAATAACTAGTTCAGATAGTGAAGCTGAGTACTGATCTAAGTAATGTCAATAATTCATTATTTAAAAATTAAAGAAGCCTACTGCAAATGATTTATGTTCTTTCAAATTACATTTTTCAACCTTTTCATTTGCTTAGTGTAAAAACTGTATTTTATCAGAAATATGAAGGCAGTGTTATTTGTTACAAGAATATTATGAACAAATTTTTGAAAGTTTGAACTTTATGGTAGTTTTTCTTATTTTAATAATAATAGAACTTCTCTGACTGACATTGTATTGGCAAGTCAGCTTTCTAAAAATCAATGTCAGTAAACCATTTTATCTCCTGACATGTTTAATGTTAAAAAACATTAATATAGAACATGTTAATAAAACTCCCCAGAAAAATCTTTTTTTTTTTTGGTACTATCTAATAAAATGATTTTTTTCCTTAGCTTTTAAGTTACTCATTTGAAGCTATAAGATGTAATGTCTCAGGATTTCAGGTCAAAATTTATTTGAATTTAGCTAGTAAGATTTTGTTTCTCAAGAGAAAGCAGTGTAGTAATGATAGGCAATCATTGGGAGTCTAAAAAGTGTTCTAGTGTTGCTTACTCTAGCTGGATGTGTGGCTGAGCCTTGGTTTCCACTCTGGAAAGTAGTGGCTTAGGAAGGATGACCTCTGTAGCCTCCCAGCCTTCAGCTCCCTCTTACTGCTGCTCTTGCTCCTCCTAGCATCTGTACCACCTACCCACTATTTGTTGAACCAATTGCTAGATACAGTACTAAGCAAATCACAGATATTAACTCATGTAACTTTCATAACAATTATAGACTATTATTCCAGTTTTAAAGATGAGAAAATTAAAGCCAGAATCAGTTGCTCAAGGGAAAATAGCTAGATATATACAGAATTTATATAAAAAATGCACTTTTTAAAAGGTTTTGAAAGTCTATGTTTCTCACCACTGTGCCACAAAAAGATGGGTGAAAAAGCCTTCTCAGTAGTCAAAATAATCATTAGAAAGTCAGTGAATTGAAAGTCTTTATTCTTTAGTCACAGTGGATTAGCTCTTAAGTGACTATCCAGTCCCTTCAGCCATTTGGGCAGTTTCTATTAGATTCGGCCTACACTGTCCTTTTTTTTCGCCTTCTGCAATCTTACCCACAGCTGACAATGCCACTCCCTGTAGAACCTCTTCTTCTTATTCCTTCCATTGTTTGGCCTGATGGTATTTTTATAATGAGGACAACATGATAACTCTCAGTCTATTCTGGTTAGTAGTTTGTTGCATTTTATTGAATGAGCGATTGGTGTAGGTTAGCCCTGAAATCCTCCATAAGATATGTACGACTCGTATTGTGTAATCCATCAGATTTATTGATGTTTTCTCAGAGAAGCGTCTCTGCTAACCATTTCTTTTTCCTTTCTAAACCACACACTGACATACACATTTACATAGCTGCGCAAAATACTCAGGCTCAGAACTTTAATTTTAGAGACAGATTTTGAGAACATTAATGTTCCATAAACATTTATTTGTCCTCCCAGTTATATGTCAGGTGCTACATCTGTGTGAATTAGCCTCTTTAACAAACTTATTTATCAGATAAATAATAATGACTTTAGTGAACTATTTGATGCATTAACCTTTAGGAAATTAGCAAACTCTTATTTCTAGATGTTGCTTAAAATATGTGATCTTGCAAGGGATCCTGTATTTTGGTTTTAGTTTATCTTTTCACCAAAATGTAGCTTTACTTACATATCTAATCATGCCATATATATGTACCTGCATATTTATGTTTATGTTATTTTTATCTGTAACATTAAAATGTTTTTGGATATTTAAATTTAAAAGAAGTAATTACAAGCCATTTTCCCCCCTTTTTAAAGATATTGATGGATCATCAAAATCTGTCAGAACACGTACTCTGCATGGTTTTATATCTGATTGAATTAGGACTTGAAAATTCAGCTGATGAGGAATCAGATGAAGAAGTAAGTAGTTTCTTATATTTTTAAATATTAAAGTTGTAACATGCCTTAATTAAAGGTAGTATGTCATCTTGAAATGTGTTTATAGATTCATCACATTCTTCTTACGAACTACCAGAAAAGGCCCTTTTTGATCTTTAAATACATATGTTCTTTTAGAGGTTTCACTGATACATTAAACTCTACATATGGAATTATTGAATTTCAAATTTGTAAATTCATAATATGTAGATCTAAGAAAAGTAGTTAATGAATTTTTGGTGTATGTAACATTAATTACTGGTAATAATCAATTGTTAGGACTTCAGTCTAGAAATTTTGATAATTTGATTAGGGATTATTTTTGAGTGGGAAATTTTTTTCTGTAAAGATTTTAAGTTTATGGAGTAAATATTGTTTTATGGGAGAATATTTAAAAGTACTTAATTATACAAGTTAATATGTTTCAGGACTCCATAAAAGAAATTGCTACTATGAATCGAGTTTACAAATATGATATCTCATCTCCCTCAAAAAAGACAAAATACAGCAAAATGTAACAGCAAGCAAAAACAAAAGACGAGGCAGTACTTTGTAGTCTAAATTGAATCAACATATATTCATTTTTAGATATTAAAGGATCATTAAGACCCTTAAAAAGTAGATCAGACTTGTTGATTTTTCATACTTTCTTCCATAATTAGTCCAAATTAGCATTATTTGGCTATATTATGAATTATTACTAATGAGTGATGGAAAATATTCTGTCCTGTCAAGTATTTCCGGATTGAAAAATATATTTTTTTGAGGAGAAATTTAGCTGACTTCGTTGAATTTGCATATTAGTACTGAGAGATTTATTCTTGTATTTTGTGTGTGAATTTGGATTTATCTGCATTTTATATGTGGATGAGACTATAGGCATTCAAGAATATGTTAGGCAGTGGATGATTATTTGGGCTTGTTACATCTCCATATTACCTTAGATCTGACTTGACAAAGGCTGATATTCATTATGTTTATGTTTTAGGCATTAGTATGTGGACCAGAACGTTGTCATGATAGTTGGTTTCCCGGCAGTAATTTGGTATCCAACATGAGACACTTTATAAACTATGTTAGAGTGAGAGTTCCAGAGACTGCTCCTGAAGTGAAGAGAGACTCACCTGCAAGTACCAGCTCTGATAGCTTGGGTTCTTTACAAGTAAGTGTAGAAGAGAGAAAGAGAAAAAGGAAAGGCTTTATGTTATGTTGGGATATGTTATTTATATCATCTCATGATATTCAGAAGAAAAATAAATGTGGTTGTAGATAACTTTAAATTGTCTTTTATTTGCTTTGCTATATCTAAGCAACTTCTGCCTTACCTTTCTTTTTCCTTTAATCTGCCAGAGTTCACGACGGCCTAAAGTTCTTCAAAGAGAGGTAGATGTATATGATACTTGTGTTAACTAGCAATATAGCTTTAACTGGAAATGGGGAAAAACATTGAAGTATTTGTGTGTGTATGTGTATGCTTAATTAATATGGTTAAATTTAAAAAAGCATTTCTTTAATGTGTTTGTGTGTTATATAGTGATTTAGGCTTAATTTTAAAGAAAATTCATATTACTGAACTTAAAAAAATAATACTGAGTATTTAATAGTGGGTTTTTCTTAGTAGTGTTAGAGATATTTTAGATGAATTATAAGCAGCACATTTGGATCTGTTTACATTTAGCATTGTTACTAACATCTTAAAAATAAATGTGTCCTAAATCAAAATAAATTTAATCTTTAATTGCTGGCAGCATGCCCATTTATAATTTTTTTTTTTTTTTTTTTTTTTT